CGATGAAAAAATAAATTATAGACTCTATTCCTATAGATCTATGGACTATTAAATTATAGTAAATTTACGTGACTAATGTGTTTTTTCTAGACCAATATATTAATGGTTTCTCTAGGAATCATACTCCTTCCATAAAGATTTATCATTCCAAACTACAATATTTTATGATTCATGAATCATCAAAAGAAAGCTTATAAGTTTTCGAGATATCGAGAACTTTTGAAAACGAGAACTTAGTAACTAGTCAGCTCCGATGATAGTTTGACTTTGAAACAGCCAGAATAGTTTTTCATGCAATATATATTCAATAATGAAATTTGCAATATTGAGATATCTATTTAATAAAACTGCATTGACAGAATTAGATGCTAAGGCCTTTTTAAAAACAACAAAGTTAAGTGTAAACAAGTTTAAAGTATGTAAAAGTAAGTAAGTAGAAAGTAAGATATAAGAATTAGATAAAATGTATCAGGAAACGTAAGAAGGTTTGATTATGATACTAATATCTTCATATTAATAACAGATAATAAAATATAAAAAGATAAATTCATACTATCGAAATATTCACGCAGTTATAAAAAAAAAAAAAACTACTTTAAATGGATGAAACAAAATGACTGTAATATCGCATCCTATCAATAAGAAATACGGAAAGGCCTTAGGTAGATTACGAAAAAACACCTTAATTTTTGTTTTACTTTACCTTTGCCAAGCCATGCCAAGGAGTTTGATTTAAATACAAATACTAAGACAGAAGATCAAACTGACCAAAGCAGACAGTCCAGCTGTTTAAATGTCCGGAAGATGAAAGAGTTTGATTGACGTAAGGCAATGCGACCAAAAACATCCCCTAGTCTACCCACATTCTTACTGGGAAGAATCGTATTATTCTCTTCAATCTTTTTCTGCTTGTATAAAAATGTAAAGCGAAAATAAGCTTTTATTTCAACTTCTCCCTACCGTACAATGTCCTTATATCGTACTACCATTATGCTAACTAGGTCATTTAAAGTATTTGTTTGTATTATGTTAAGTTGAGTTAAGTTGAAGCAGTAGAGCCTATTGTCTCCATAGAAGTACGATTATAAGCTGCCTTTGGCCGTCGTTTGGAAGATGACTATATAATCTCGGCCTCAACAGCTTTTGCATGAATAATATATCTCTAACGGACCCTTCTGAATGGGTTCCCCTTGTCTACTTTTGTAAGCTACCCTTAAGGTTATAACACTATATCAAAAGTTCTTTAGAGTTGAGCCATACTATAAACCATAGTATAATGGTTTAACCTAAGTCCTATGTGAATGTAATGTATAGTGCTAGTTAAGAAATACTATATTGATGATGAGTAAAGGGTAAGGGATTAGCCATTATTTTGAACTTGAGCAAAGAAAAGGTCAATTATTTGTTAACCAAAACGTGTCAAGAAAAAAATATTGATAGCAAACCCAATTTGGAATTGCATTTTTGAATGTTTACTCTTCCCGTAGGTTCTGTGACGTTTTATGACCCTATATTCTCCGTAGTGGCTATATTACTTCACTAGGCAGCGTATTTCTACCACCTCTTTGTAGAGTGAATCTCGGACGGTAAATAATTAAAAGTGATTAAATAAAGGACGACTGGACTGAGAGGTCATTACAACACTTGACTAACTTTGCTGCGTTTTAACTGCTGCGATTTGTCCGTCTGTCGGGCTGCAGACACAAACATTAGAAACAAAAACTGGCAATTTAGCTTATTACTCTGACAGAGGTTATGCCAAGTAGTGTTGTAAAACATTTGTTTACCTTTCTTGCATTTAAAACGAATTAGTACTGTTTTGGGGTTGAATCTGCAATTTATATTGTGGTAAATCAAGAAGTGCGTGAAGGGAACGTACTTATTTCTGCCTTAAAGATCTCTGGTAAATCGAGAGTTTACCTCTACCAAACCTTTTACGCAAAAGCAAGAATATTATGTAATGATAGTTGGTATTTTAGTTAGTAAATTTACGTTTATGTATATTTTGGAGGAATAAAAACAAACATTGAAAACTTAATCTTCTCCAGATTTCAGTTCAATCTTGTTAAGTGGAAACGGATCAGTCAGATAACACGAGTGATAAAAGCCTCTTAGTCATCTTTTTGTGTGGACTTTTGCACTTCGTGGTCCTCCACAATTGTTAGAAGGTATCCAAAGAACAACACAAAATGCAACATCTGATGAATACTAGACTACTGTGAATTTATTAAGTGTTTGAGTAATTCCATTGGCTATACATTTTGATTACTCAAACTCAAACATCTTTATTTTTGACAGTTGTTACAGACTGCATAATAGCGTCAACACACATTTCTCTTAAACAAATCAAAACAATAAATTCTTATAGATAAAATCTAAAAACTAAAGATCTTTGTTCTCTTAAGAAGTCTTCAACACTGTAACAACAGCGTGACAAAAGAACACCCATTTGCCAAATTTGTCCACACTATTTTCCATCTGAGGAGTGGGCAGTGCATTGAGCAGTTAAATGCCATTGTAAATAAATGATTTTCAAAAAAGCAGTTTTGTGTTTTAGAATGTCTAAATCGCACCGGCTTCTCAAACAAGCAATAGCAATGGTGATGCTAGGGTGTGGTTTTCTAATAACCGTTGCTTTATATGACTTCAATAAAATTGAGAATGGGAGGCGCGTGTGGCAGTAAATTATATAGGAGGTTAGTTCTCAACATCGAGGCACTTTTATCCGTCAGAATCTCTTAATATCTTCTAATCTCTTTATATTTGTCACGCAATGAATAGGCTTATTGAGCGTGAGTACAAAGGGAGGGGAAAATTTCAGGACTTGGACTGTCTGTTGGTAAAGATTTACATTGTACCAACATTATCGTAACAAATTAAATGTTTACCGTTGATCATATTAGTTTATCGTAGTTAAACATTCAATTAATCAGGGTAACTTAAATGTTTGAACGGGTTAATTTATGTATTAAAGGGGGGTATTGATTTGTATACTAAGAATACTGTTTTACCTGACAAATTTTGTATTAAACATTCCAAAAAATTCGTAGAAAATGCCTTTGTAGTTAAAGTAAATGAGCTTAAATTCAAAAAGGTTTATTCCGAGAACTGCTCGAATTTTTTGGACGGTTTGAAACAACAATTTTATGTGAAATGTTGGGTGACGACAAAACATATTTGTGAGCCATTCCTTATTAGTTCATATTATTTAAAATCATTTGAGAAATATATTTTTTATGATTGTTTCATATTGGTTTTATTTTAACAAAATTGTAACAGTGTTAGTTTTTATTTTATAATTTGAGGATATATTCATTTTAATGTAATTATGAAAAAATAAAGGGTAAACATACTATCTAAAACACTTGTAATCATTCTATGTATGGTTATCAATTTTTAATGGAACAGTTTGGTGTTGTCAAATTTAAAGTCATGCCAAAAAATAGATAAAATAAATTTAATTCGTCCTATAATAATCCATTTTATCGTCATTTTCAATTGAAAAGATTTAATGGAAAAAACATACATTTTAAAAACATATAAGATAAAGAAAGATACAGATCTTTTAAATGCCAGAAGAAAAAAAGTTTGTTTCCAAACCTGGACGTTTCCTGCTAAGTAAAATGTTTGGTAACTCCATAAACTGATATTGACTTGGCGAGAACAACCTCCATCTCTTAGTGTTAGGTTAGGTAATGTATTCCAGGAATTCCCCATCGTCACATTTCACTTGGGATAGAGTTGGTAGACTGATGTTTTAGACTCTATCAGGACCTATAGCTTTCCGATCTGTTTAATGTAATTTATTATTGACATGTCATACATTTAATCCAGCTATATATGTAGATTTGCTTGATAATCTATCTCTAATTTTAATTAACGAATATGTAAATAAAATTAAATATCATAATACCTAAGAGTGTATATTAGAATTAGTTGAAAGTAATCACCTATAAACGAGTGAAACCCAAGATTAAACTTCTTAAAAATAGAATTAATTATGTTTCTTAGAGAGGTAATCAAACATTGAAAAATTACTTTTGTTAGACAGTTCAATATTTCGATGCAATTACAATACATTTTAGGGAGGGTTATTTTACACAAATTCCATGTAGTGATGCTATGAGATATATTTAGGCTGGAGATAGATGAGATGGTGTGTTCGTGTGAGATGGTGTTTGGTGAGGTGGTGTATTTCTATGTTGAGGTTGTACCACTACAACTGTGCAACGTTGGCAGTGCTAATGCATGTCTTTACGACATCTTAAGTCACACTATTCTTGGATAAACCACTTCCACTAATTCAATGATCTGTCCTTCAATGACCAAGAGCTGTCCATTTTCAGCATTTATCCTCTCTTCGACCTATTTCGTTTAAACTGTATATAGGTAAATCCATAAAGATGGATTGAGAAAGTAGTTCTTGATGGAGAACCTGATATGATTATCCATTGTAGAGGTATTTTATTTTATTTAAAATGTTATATTTGTTGTTTTGATTGGTTTTAATTAATTTTGATTTGCTCTAAATATCATTAAAAATAAATTATTTACTCTACTGCAGACCAAAAGTTTAAAAAAAAAAATCTGTCTAGACAGTTTTAAAATTTTTTGGAACGGTTTCCCAATAAATTATGTTGAGATTGGCTTACTTACCAGTTTTATGATTTGTATTTGAAACTCTGGTTCTTTAACGGTGCATAATGTATCAGACCACTAACATGTTTCCTTCCAAACTATACAGGGCGTCTCCAAGCTCTTTACCGATCTTATAATTCCCTTACAATAATTGACTCTTAATTTTCTTTGATGAACTTAATTATGTATAAATTTAACTCTCAGTGAACTTGACGACCGTAAGAATTTCCCTTAAATGAAAGGTCAAGAGATAAACTTAAGAACTGTACTCTCTGGCTACAAACTGTCCTTTGAATTTGCTCTCCTTTAGCTGCTACAAAATCAAAGTAGGCTATCAGGATGAGAATAACAATCAAACCAAATATGTTAGTAACGATGATTTATTAACTATATACATTGATTTATTAACACCATTGGCGCTCAGTGGAGTTAAAACACGTCAATAAAACATAGTGATAAACAACACAATAAACAATAAACAATACAACCACAGGGGACTAGATCTGTCTCTAACTGTCTATAGCGGACTAACTTACTACCGTATTGCAAGATGTAACACTGATACCTATTAAACTTTATGTACATATATATTTTATGCAGGGTTAAAGACTAAGTATACTTCACTGTTGACATGGTATGTATCGATGTTCGCTTCTTTTCTGTCGATGGATCGAATTATGTTTTTGATAATTGTATTCAAAATATATTTATGGAACAGAATGTTCAACATAAATTACATAATCGATCTAAATTCTATATTATTGCTTCTTATATTTTTTATATCACATTTTCGAAAATTATAAGATTAAAGCTTGTAGACTCGAACTAAAATAAATATGATTGCCAAATAATGAGTATTAAATAAGATTGTCGTTGTGATTGTGTAAAATGATTCAAACAATTTAAAAATATATTTTTATATTCATGTTAGTCTAAATAATTCTAAATACAGTTAGTATTGAGAAGATACTTTAAGAAGCAAGGAATAATTGTTTACTCATGCATTTGAATCACAGAATAATGCCAGTCTGAAGACGGTTGTGAATTCAAGCTAATAATAATTTAAGGTTAATTGAAATTCTTTGCAAAATGTATTTGTTCAGGTAACATCTTCAGTCCTTTGTGTGACTTCATTTCCTTCTGTTGACGTAAAAACGCAAGTTAACATGTGAAACCAGAACATACAGTATGTATAAATATTTTGACAACATATGCCTCTTTGATTACACAACTTAACTATACATTTCTAAATGTACCTAGTAAAATATTTTATATTAGCAATAACGCTTCCCTTAAAGGGGTTTAGGTTTTATTTGAGTTATTTATTACAGAGCAATGTACACTTAATAGCAAACGTGACGAAACAATGAAGAGTAGCTGAAAATGGACGGTTTTGTGTGTGTAGGTGTGATTTCTCATAGTAAATACATCGTTTGTGCAAATGTTAAAAAAATATTGGTGTATATATGAACAGTAGCGTACAGTGGCTATATAGTAAAACTTTAGTCGATGACATATTGTACAGCTATTAGTACAGTGGAAATAATTTTTGAGCAAATTTAAGGCAATGAATGGTAAATTAGTGTAATTTAAAGTTATACAGAGCTCGTGGGCTTTGTGAATATAACATCAACATTATTTGGATGTTGATATCCCTTTTTGATAGAAAATTTGACCTCTATAACGCACTAAGATCGTGCAAAACATTATTGAAAGCAGAATGTTTCCTTGGGTTCACTGATGATGTATAGAGTAATTTGAAGAAGAACACCTTACTAATAGCTTTACAAAAATCGTAAAACGAAACAGAAAGAGCATCATTTAGATGTATCTAGAAAATTATTTCAACACAAACACCTTAATCACGACAACCTTACTAGTCTATGATTAGTTCACTAGAAACTCGTCTTGGTGAATTTGTCATAGATTTTTTAAATTATTTTTCAATCTAAATATTACTAAAGATGTTTTCGAATATTTATTCGTTATATTTGTTGATGCTTCTGACTACGAATGAACTAAAGAATTGATCATTTATAGTCTATGAATATTTATTTTTACATTTGCTTGAAAAAGAACACCAAGCGAATTGACCAGTTACTATATTGACGAGCTTCTAGTGAATTCAACACAACCTTAATCGTTTCTAATATGTAAAAATTCAGAATTGTCTAGCAAAGCATTGAGCACTTCCTTAATCTAACTTGAGAATAGCCAAAAGCCATCTTAACCTTACACCATTAATCTATCTTTAGCGACATTTGTGGATTTATAAAAGTCGTTATGTTGTCCAAACCAAAGTTCAGTCCGACGAAGACTTTCGCTGATCACTCAAACCACATGCAAGTAAATCGGTAATGGGAAACATTCTTGTCTCGTGTATCTTTTTTGTTTCACAATCAATATTATTTACAATTATTAAACAAAATTGCCAATAGTTTATTTTACAGTGTTCGATTGGAAAAATAAAATTACATGTACAAGAATTCGAGCGGACATAAGAATATATATAACGAAATCTTTGCGAGCTGAAATGCTTGTTGACGTTAATGTTTTAATAAGCCACGAGGGGTGCTCGAGACAAGAATATACCCAGTTTCGACTAGACTTACAAAACATCTCTTCAACCTCCCTTTTTTAAATCTTCAGAAGGCTTCGAACCTTCCCTGAGCATGCCCCAGAGTGCATTCTTATCTAGGACCAGGACTCGGTCTCCAACAGCCTTGGCTACAGTAGCTGACTCCTGCACTGCTATTCCAGGATGTGATGGTCCTGTCACAGAGTCCTGGAGCAACGCAGGTTCCCTAACTTGTCCTGTCACGTGGTTCACCTTCTTAACTTCCACGGGGCTGTGAGTGACGTTGATCTCTTCCTCAGGCATCGTTTGGTTAGGGTCTTGTATGACGATTTCACCCTTGTCAAGTATTGGCTTTGGTCCTTTCTTTGGCACAGAAGAAGTGAAATTACTTACATCTTCACGAACAACGTATATGATTTCTTTGGTGAGTAGGTCATCCGCTTTTTCATAACCTTTTTGGACTGATTTTGTCATAGATTTCTTCATACTTGATAGTTTTGTTTTCTTTATTATTTCTTTCTTCTCGCTCTGTTTTCCTTTCTGCAAAACTTTGAGGTTGACAATTGGCTGAGGTTGCGCTTTTAGTGGACGTTCAGTGACAAGTGGTGTTGTAGTGGTATTTTCCTCTTGTGGCTGGGAAGTGGGGGATTCTTTGATAGTCTCAATTGCAGAAGGCGTCCCTTGGGTTACCTCAGTCTCATTTGTTACCTCAACTTTATTTGTAACTTCAGCTATGTTTAATACTTTAGCTTTGTTTGTTACTTCAGCTTTGTTTGTTGCTTCAGCTTTGTTTGTTACCTCAGGTGTGTTAGTTACCTCAAGCTCCATAGTCACTTCCGCATCCTTGATAGCTACAATATCACTTGTTTCGCTGGGGTCACTTTTTCTCTCAGACTTGGTTGTTTCTGAAGACAACATCAAGACTTCTTCTGTCACAGGTTGAGTGTCTTCTGGAGAAGACGTTGTATTTGCATCAGAATTTAGATCGCTCAGGATGATTACATCAGTTAATGTGAGATCATCATTGTACACTTCAGGGTTGACTGTAGCCAGGGCGAGGTTTGACATGAAGCTATCTTCTTCATTCTGTTCGCACTCTCTCACTTCTACAAGCTGATCCTCTTGAGAACCTGAGAAATAAAAATATTTATGATTGACAATAATTTAAGAGAGTAGACTTTAACAGATAAATATTAGTGCTTTATCCCCAGTTCTGCTTGTTTATTAAGCTAGAAAAAAATGGGATATTAAACAAGTTTTACATAACAAAATAATCGAACCATTTCAATAATAATTACGAATTCGGGTCTCCAAAAATTAACACAAACTAAAAACAATTCTTTACATAAAAAGTTACCAATACAAACTTTGTACAGCATGGTTAAAATTGCATGCTAAACACTAAAACTTCAGAAATATTTTTATCTAGGCTAAACTTAGGACAATTTAGTTTTTCACGATTGCTAATTACTACAGAATATTAAATATTCCATAATAAAAGCAGATTTTTGTTCCCATAAAACAAGACAAATTTACGAATATGTTATAATTTAAAAGAGTGTAGGGGGGGGGGGCATTAAGTTTGCCTTGGCCTAATGATACCATTCGTCACGTATCATAATCATCATCAATTGATTAATAATACAAATATGTATTGATATAAGTAAAAAAGTTGTTTAAATATAAATGCTAAAGCGTAAGTCTGGTAACGAAATATAGATAGGTACTTTTGGTTTAACAAAATTATATTTTTACGTACACACATTAATAAACTAAAATTGATATTTGATGATTTCTCATTGAATTTGGAAATTCCTATGCTATACTACTATTGATCATATTGAAATATGCCATGCGGCTCCAGCATTAGCATAGACTGCAGTAACCCCTGCTTATCGTATGAAAGGGGGGCTACCTATTCTTTCAGCGTCTCCTCTCCAAACCAACATTTTCCATTTAAAGTCAGTAGACCAGAATAAAAAAAGCTCTGGTCTATTCTCATGTACGGCTCCGTGTCCTTTGCCTCCAACTGCGTTGGACGTCCATTCATGCAGAGGGTACAGCTTAAAAACTGGGTTTTCTTGCACATCCCAGGCGTCCGAAAGGGACATTTCTTGCTATACATGGGCCCAAATCAGCTTAGCCAGCAATATCCTGGCTGCCCTTTCATCCGACAACACCCCCTTGGCCGTAGTATTGCCAGATGGCAACTGGATAGGGCCACTGCTTGTCTTGAGCGTTCTTTGTTTTTCGGGGGTGTAGGACGTGGAGTATATCCGTGCATGGGGTGAAACAGGGTGACATTCTCACGAGGGCACATCATAAGGGGGGGGGGGAATTAAGAGCAGTTGCAGAACACAAGAATAAATAAAGCGTTTCATTCGGGCTCCCTAACCTAAAAACTAGAGGCAGTAATGACACCCGGTATAGATTTCGATCCGTTCCCGTTGGAGCTCACATTGAGTCGTTCCGCTGTTCGCGTCCATAATTTTTTACTCCGAGTTCCGACACATCGCCGCTCTCGGAAGCTCTGCCAGAGCAGAGAAATTACAAAATGGGTTTGTCATACGTTGCTGTGATCGCACCTAGCCGGGCAGAAGGAGGTGGATACCCTGAAGAAGTGTTTAGATGCGCTCAGTCAAATTAAGTCAGTGACACGCAGATAGAAGAACAAGATCAGGGACGTTAAGACTGGGATTGCCAAGCTGGAGTCCTATCTTAACCACATTCTCTACCAGCAAGTCTAGAAAGTCGCGTGAGAGGACCCTCATCTATTCGTCAACGCAGACCTTGCCAGGAGATTGGGTGAAAGTTGAGAAACTGAAGGGCAGGCAGGATAAATATTCCTCGGCATTCTTTGGCCAGGCCTGGAAAAGAGACGGCAAAGAAGCTGAAGCCGGCAAACGGAAAGACCTACGCTGACATTCTTTGTGATATACGCCGTAATTTAAAACGCTCAGGAAAACTAGAACTGGTGACCTTGTAGTAGAGGTTGGCCATTCCTCCGGGATGAAGGCAGGTTTTGTTTCTGACTTGCAATAGATCTTTGTTGCAAATGGTTAAGTACGAATTCTTGAGCAGAAATCTGCGTTGGAAGTGAGGGGCATTGACGATGGAGGAGGATTTTTCCACTGGAGTGCGATCTGTCCTCGGCAAATCAAAGATTTCCGTCTGGAAGGCCAACTCTCGAGGGAAGTCGAGATGTCGGGTCCACTAGAAGCTCGTAGATCCAGTTGATTCAAATACCTGTGTTTCACCCACTTAGCCCATCAAGGTCCCGACAGAATCAACACGTGCTTCAAGCGCGGTTTACAAGGCCAGTGTGTGCAGTCCCGCTGAATCTTGTGCCTGCCCACATAAGAGCTTGATGAACAATAGAGATCCCTGTGGAGATTCGGAAGCTCATCATATAGTTAAATCTGAAACCTCTCTTGGATATGTTCAACGCCTGCTTGGTGGAATTCGTTTTTCTACCGGCGTGAAAGGTGGCCTTTTCTTGATCCCCAAGGTGAAGAGTGCACCGAGGAACACCTCTTCTTTTCGCCTTCTGTGTATGCTTGACCCAAGTGTCAAAGTTATGAAGAAGCTTATACGCACCGGATTGATAGAGGCTATCGTCTCCGTAAGGTGTTTGTCCCCGCAACCAAGCATGGTTTCCGTTCTAGTCACTCACTCATTGATGTCAATCAGGAGGTAGTTAAAACAGAGTGGAGTGCGGCGGACCATAGTCGCTGTTTGCTTCGTGTGGTTCTCTTCGTTACTCTTGACGTGAAGAGCTCGTTCATCTACACGTGGAGTTATATGCTGTGGGCGCTCTAGCATACGTTCATAGTTCCTCCCTACCTTTTTCAAATGATCGAGACCTACATTTCAGACCGTGTATTGCTTTTTGGAACCACTTATGGTCAGCTTCGGATATCTTCTGGGGCTAGCGACGAGATCATTCTCGTTATCTACACCAACTGTGTCGCTGCTCTGGTTGCAGGCATAAACTCAACGGGTGTATGCAGGACCATGGCTTACGGTGACGGTCAATAAGACCGAGATCATCATGACCAACTGGAGCTCAAGCCTTATGCCGAATACCTCGGTGTTATGATTGAAAGCAAGATGTCTTTGGGTGAGCAGATCAAGCAAACCGTTGACAAAGCCACTAATGAAATCACTGCATTTAGTAGGCTTATGCACTGGCTTATGCATATGGGGACGTTTGTGGTACCCGCTCCTGCAAACACAGCACTGCCTGCTGTCCAATCAGTTCTCTTGTACTGCGCTGAGGTCTGGGCTCATGTGCTGGAGAGGCGTGTCATCCTTGACCGGCTTTCCCGTGTTCAGCGTCGAGGAGACCCATCTTGTTTCCTACATCGACGACGGTGCTGCTCTGGTTGCAGGCAGAAATTTCAAAGAGGCAGAGATTTAAAGTTTTTTTTTTTTTTACTTGGGGTGGTGGTGTTCCAATTAAACGTGTGGATATAAGACCATGGCTTATCGCTGGCACTAGGAAAGACTGAGATCGTGGTCTCAACCAAGAAAAGATTGCCGTTGTCATTCCCGTATTCCATCTTGCGTCTGAACAACAGGCGATCTATCACAGGATCCTTAAAATAGACAGAGAGACTGCTGTCAGAGAAGAACGCGACCACAGATTTAACCACTGGCAGCACTAATGGAACGCCGAGTCTAGGGAGCGTTGGGCCCTCTCTTTCTAACCATCCGATTATGTGTAGAGGGGGGGGGGCATGATGAGGTCGAGCATTTCATGACCCAATTTTTGTTTATTTACGGGTCTTTTTGCACAGAATGGGGAAGGTTACCAGCTTGGTCTGTCTGTACTGTCCCGGCATTGCAAACACAGCCGAACAGATATTCTTCTTTTGCGGCAAGTCGCAAGTCCACCGAGCCTAATTGATTCCTGAGATTGGTGTTGACATCACTCCCGACAACATCGTTGCAGCTATGCTCCAAGGAGAGGGCACCTAGAACGATGTCAAGAATGCCATATTTTGGGCTAAGAAAATTTAGCTCGATCGGTATTAGTATTCGGAAGAAAATAAGAAGGGAAGCTCTAGTGTCATAATTAAAAAGGCATGGCCCAAACCAATGTGCTAAACAGTTCCAGGTGTCCTAGGAGATGAGGGGGTTTCCTGCCGGTAGTCCGCGGCAGTCTGGTGCTACTGAGAGGACATTGAGTAACTCAGTGTGCGTAAACGCATTTTAAAATCCACCCCACAAAAATACTATTGATATAAACAAAGCTAGAATTTTTTTTATAACTGATTTCTCATTTTATTGGGGAAACTACTCCCTATGAGTAATATACTACATAATTTAATGTTTTAACCAACATTTTACTATATAAAAAACTCACTTTAATTTTTTTTTATAATCAACATTACCAAATAAAATACGTTCAACGTATGAAAAAAGTCAGAAAAGAAATCAAAGCATAATAATAAATTCAAATGACATACCAGAATGAGAGTTAAACCAAGTGATGTAGTCTTCATCAGAGTCTGTGAGTAAAGGAGAAGTAAAGAACGTTTCCACTGCCAGGTCTGGTCTGGTGGCTGGATAAACACGGGCCAGAGCAGGTCTTAGACCACGCACTACGAAGTCACTGTGGATGGTCAGACGAACGCAGACTGAACAGGAGGAGTTAACCTAAAAGGCAAATGTGTATTTTAAATCTATCAAGGTTCTCAGGTAACTTTACCAGCTTTAGGTTGACACAGATAATACCAGAGTTTTTTTATAATATTAAAAAAAATAGTGACCAATATTTTGAATTTATTGACTGAATCTATCTCGTGGGCAAGCTAAAATTCAGACTAGCTGCAAAACACCCGAAATCTAGGCAAGTACTTAGGAAGACTTAACGCGATCATCTTTCGAAGACCACTACAAACAAATTCGAAGCTGTCCTAATTTATGCTTAACTTATTCAAACCTGGCTAAAATGACTTAATGTAATCGCTGCTCAAATGGGCCAAAGATTCAATTAAATTGATGAACTTGGTTTGGCTTCAATTTCCACTACCCTTCGTGTTTTAAATATGGATAACGTGAAAATTAACGAGGTTGTCAGCAACTAGAGTGAGGAACTAAGTAGGATAATATTAGATTATAGGATACGTTTTTTTGTCAATGTAATCCTGCATACTATCGCAATACGGTTTTTAGTAGCCGTTTCTATGATGTAATGATAAAGGTTTTTATTTTTACTAGGCCTATTATACTTTTAGATAACGCATTTTTACATTAAATAACAAAATGAAAACAAGTTTAATCAAGTACTTTTTATACTTTAATATTGTGTGAGGCAGTGATTGTTTTTTAACAGTTTGAAACTCATTAACATTGTTATGTATACAATATGTACAATATGTTATGTGTTACAATATATATTGTAATATTTATAATATGAAGATTTGTGTTAAACTTACGTCTAACAGTGAGAACCAGACTTTGTCACCGTCAGCTCCATATCTCAAACTCGCCAGAGTTTTGCTGGGTTTGAAGCTCGTGAGTTGAAACCCAGAGAAGAGATGAAGTTCGCCTCGAATCACTCCAGACGGCTCGGAACCTTTCCATCTAAAAATATTTTATCTATTAATACAAAATCTGACTAATAAGGGTGTTAGTCATGTTTTTACTAGTGAGTATTACTTAATAAGACATTCTTTTAAAAAATTAGCCTTAAAGTCAATTATGGATCAAATTTGATATAGTTGAGTAAGCAAACACTATTTGTTGATATTCGTGAATGATAACTCCTTTACTCAAGTGTTCTTTAAGGTTATGTATTTAAGTTAGTGCATTAAGGTTATCCGTTAGGACCGAAAAAACTTTTAAAATCTGTGATAATGTATTTAACGAATATTGTATAGAGTAACAGGTTCGCATTTGTATAATATCATTTGTTAAAACTTTGACTATTGATAAATAAATGGTCACAGAAAACTGACACATACCTTCTCCCATTAGCTTATTGTAGTATATTTAAAGATTTTATGTATTCAATATTATATTTGTAAAACAGCGTTTCTTGTAGGAAACCAGATTTGTTTAAAATGTAAATGTGTGTTAGTGTGTGTGTACATCACGCCACGTCTGTGACGTCATATCAGGTGATTTTTAATAAATTCAAAGTCACTAGTCCCGTCTCCTGTCAAGTTAAGACGTCGTCAAACTGGCGACGTCACACTGGCGACGAGGATGGGATTAGTGAGAAATAAAAACTACATAATTAGTTAATACCACGGGCTGCACGGACCGGGATGAAGTTGTACGGTTGCAGGACTAGGACGGACTGACGTAGTGGTTAGATGCACGTGTATAGCGTGGTCGCGGCAGCCAATGAGAATTTATTAAAAATCACCTGATATGACGTCACAGACGTGGCGTGATGTACACACACACTAACACACATTTACATTTTAAACAAATCTGGTTTCCTACAAGAAACGCTGTTTTACAAATATAATATTGAATACATAAAATCATTAAATATACTACACTTATCAACAACATTCATAATGAATAAGCAGTTGGAGTAGCAATGATATTTTGTGGTTTTAACGAAAGTATCAATTACGTTTGCACCGTAATTTTTACAGCGATCGGGTTTGTAATTTTATTAGAATTTAAATAGCCATAAAGCACAAAATTACAATCAAAACCGTTTGAGCCGTTTTTTTTTAGATTTTTTCAATTTTTGTTTAGGGTTTTATGATGAAATTACAATTAAGTTTTAAAATGTTTAAAAGTATTTCAAAACCACCTCTAAATACAATGGATACCCACATACCAAATATCATGAAAATGGAACCACAAGTGTGGTCTGTAGCTTTGTACACATCCACACACATTTATCTGAAAAACTTAAACAAAAACAAAAACTCAACTTAAAAGTGTTGACGAAAGCAATACTTTCTTTATATACAAAATTGGGGGAGAATAAAACAGTACCTTTTGCATAGGTATATAAACTTTAAATCTTAAGGCAGGAAGTAATATTTTATTAATAACCAACCACATTACCATGCAACCAGGTGCATTATTTAAACCAGAGGAAATTGTTCATACCTGGGCAAAGTGGGAGCGAAATTATGAATGTAAGGGAAACAAAGCGTGTATGAGAAAGTTTACAACTGTAACTAAAAACTCTCCTGGGCGTGTTAATGGTTGGCTGAGCTCAAGTCAAACGAAATTTACATCTACATTTGAGATCTCAGTTTCGTATACTTAGGTTATGTTTTGGTAACTTTTTTAATGAGAACTTAAATCTGTACCATCACTATTATAAAAAAATTTTCATAATTATTTGTATTTGTATAGTATCCACAAACACAACTTACTTAAATCAATAAGATATTTTAAACCGTTTTCGAATTTGGGTTGTATTCCATTCATGCAATTACTTAAAACGAATTAAGCTGCTAATTTTTTATCATATAAGGATTTATCATATACTAGACAATAATATTTTTAAGCTTTCACTTATTTATAGATCCTCACATATTATTACGTTATAGATGAATCCAGTTTTGGGCGAAAAAGAGCGTAGATTAATTGAGATTCCTTGGAGACTAGACGTTCTATCTTATAAAACATAAAAAAAACAATGAAGAAAATTGCCAAACCCACAGTGCGGTGGATATTTATACTACTCAGTATTTAAATATTTATATAATTTATCATTTTTAATCTTTTTTAAATATTTATACATTTTTGTTATAGTTATTGATAATTTTGTTTTTTATGTTAGTATTAAATGCATGGTATGAAAGTGAAAGTGTAAGTAAAAGTGAAGTGAAAAGACAAGAAGAAACCCACTGAAGCAATAATATTATAAGCGCATGAACTGCTTCAATGTAAATGGTGTTCAAACTGTATTGAAGCATGTAAATAAAATAAAATAAAATAAAAATATTTAAATTACAATCACTTTTGAACAAATCCAAGATGACCGTTGGCTTCCCTTGGAAATCAATTTAGAACTAAAAAAATCTAATCCCAGAGTGCCCCAGATATTTAAATTATAATCTTTTTGGTGCTTGGAAAAATATTTTTTGATGATAATTAACACTCCAACAGCTGTTTGAAATTATCCAAGATGGCCACCAGCCTTCAAGGACTCTTAAGCATCGGAATATTTTGCTGCTGTCAATTCCTGATCCATATTGTACGCACCAACCTTATAACGAATCCTATCTAAAGATAAATTGTGGGTTTTGGAGCAATACTGATAACTTATAACATGAACTTAATTTTTTGTCTCCTTGCTGATGGCCATATTCGAACCAGTAACGAAGTACTACTACGGAATCCATAATTTCTCACATAGAGTTAGGAATGGATAGATTTTTATTCATAGAATATTTATTATTGAACATTTATACAAATAAACACTGTTTTAAACGCTACTTCTTAGTATGGCTATAATAATAATGGATTCCACTTGAATTAAATTAAAACGGATATCTATTTACGTTACACAATTTACGAGATGTGATTTGGACGTGTCATTAACAAGGATGAACTTTAACTGTATTATTCTTCAGAGTTTTATAATGATAGCTGGCAAGGCAACTTTAAATAAGAAAACTAAACAACACATACCTAAAATACCTACCTAAAGCAAGTTTTGATATCCAGTATTGGGAGTTTGCCATCCATTTCTTGCAAAGAGGGTAGTATCTCCTGTTCAACCACTGCTGAAATGTCCAGAACAGCGTTGCTCTTTGCGGGAGAGTAAGTGGCGTAAGTAACTCTTCCCTGGAACAGAACATATTGATCTTAAATATAACACAGTACTTAACACCCTATCCAACATATTAGTGCGAGAAATATGTACTTTTAATAGTTTTGTTTTGTTTTTGACAAGTTGTCAAAGTGTATCCTATTATATTTATATATGCGCAGTGTGTAACAGTTCAAATAATTTTGTATATTTTGATTTTCACTTAAATATCAAAATAACTATTTCATACAGAAAATAATATTGGAATGTTTCATTGAATTTTCCAAAGCGATGACATTGGTTCTATTCATTGGGTTGTGTATATTTTGAAAAAAAAAAATCGTTTTCCGATGTGAAAAATATAAATACTAGTTGTTCGTAATCGATTTTCACATATATTATATATTAATGAAGTAGATAGAGTTTTATTCAATTGTAGTACAAACTATCTTCCAATCATAGGCCTTTTTCTCTCTGTGTTAATGATATTGTCCATCCTTTTCTCCAGCGGAGAAGATTCTCAAACTTTAACTACCCCGGAAATTTCTAGGACCCACATTCGAATTCCATAGAGTCATCGGAAAATCCTTACATCTCATAAGACTAACTAAAATCAAATCGCTTTAGTAGCTTCTAAAATAATACTATTGGTAAAAAGATAGAAATATATATTTTAGTCTAAAGTAACGACACGAATGATTGAACAACTCTGTAGTCACATTTAATGATTGACATGTTCATTTCCAATAGTCTTATCTGATGACAACGTTACAAGAAGTGGGTGTTATAATAGAGGGGACGCTTATTGTTGTGATAGACTTCACCTCGGATAAAACTTTACGCTTCAATAACATTCGGAGTTTCTTAAGAACCTCACTGGTGATTAGGTGTCAACGCACATAAAGAAGATAATAATATGTGCAAATCCTGCAGTAAAATGTGAAAGAGTGTGTGTTTTAGTGGTGCGTAAACGTCAGGTGGTTAAAATATCGAAATCTACGATAGGAAACGTGCAGTGGGGTGAGACAATTTTTATTTGTTCTTTTTACGATAAATAGTGTGATATTGCTATAAAAACCAAATAGTTAATATAATTTATTGATATTATTTTACGCCTTTACGACTTTTTACGAGACACCTTAAGGGAAATATGCAAAGACGTAGGGAATGAGGTCGCCCTACTCAAAACCACTTCAATGTCGACTACTGAGACTTAAAAAACAAAATGTTTCCCATTTCCATAGCCTCTTGGGAGCCCTCACTTCAACATACCAATTTTATTGGCAAATTAAAAGGAATAACATGTCTTTGAAGTTAAAATCAAACATTTTTATCTAATACTTCACATTTTAAAATTAAATAGCTGGGTACCTGCACCGTCGCACACCCGGCCCCAGTGGCATAGACGAACACCTTGGTAGGCAGTGAGGGCAGTGGAAGCCGCTGGGCACCGGAGTCCGGCCTCAGTTCTATGGTGTCTGTCAGTTCCATACCTGACGTGGCCAAAGACAGGGTCAGGCTCCGGTGGGGGTCGGAGGCAAGGGAGTCGAAGTGGTAGAAGGCCTTGAGAGCGGTGAGCATCAGCTACAAACAGAGATTCAATAGTGTTTGTTTATTTCTTGTGAAGTCATTTTCCCCCATAAACAACACAATCACGATGTAATTATTTCACACATTAACGGTGGGAAACATATACAGGATTAGTAAAAAGTCTGGAGACTCCCAGTCCATTTTTTTACGGCTCACACCAGAAACACTGGACTCTACACACCTTTATGGCATGTTATGAAGTACTTTTGGGGCATAACTGCTAATTCGTGCTCATCCCTGAAACGGGGGATTTTGGGGGAAACTCAAAAGTTTCAAATGGTAAGACCCGTCATGTGACCCCTCATTTTAAAGTTCGTGATAAATGAAAACTAGCTACGCAAACTAGGGGTCTCCATCTCAACTCAGAAAAAATGGCAGTCAATTGAAACTCACTGAAATGAAATTTAACTTACAGCTTTCCAAGTCAGGAAATCCTCTGTAAATTTTTTGACGGCTCACACTAGAAAAACTAAACTCGGCACACCTTTATGGAATATTATGAAGCACCTTTTGAGCCTAATTGCTACTTGGTTTGCAAACCTAAAATTGGGGATTTTGGAGGAAATTCCAAAATTTGAAATGTAGACCCATCGAGTGACCCCTCATTTTAAAATTCGTGATAAAATAAAACTAACAACGTAAACTAGAGGTCTCTATATTAACACAGTAAAATATGGCAGTGAACAAACTCTAATAAAAGTAGCCTTTTGTTGGATAGATTGCACAATATAAATTGTTACTTTTGAAGTGCAACAGTTATCTACATTTGCTTAAGATTCATTTAGTTTTTAGTTTTATTAGCATACAGCGAGCTTGATAGTAATGGTTCTTAAATTTGTTTCAGTTATATGTTTATTTCAATTGATCAAACGAGTAAAAAATGCTGAATGTCTCGATCAAGTAAGTCATTAATGGTGATAAAGATACTAAGTCTCGATATAGTTTTGTCCTTCCAAGCACACGAAAAGGCAGACATGCCATGTCTGCCTTTTCGTGTGCTTATAAAATATATTTTCGTTCCAGGTGAGCAAAAGTTATTAATTTCTAAAAATATTCCTACCAAAATGTAAGGTTCTAAAAATGCGATTTGAACGAGAAATGCCAAATAGGAATAGTACTGGAATAACTTCATATGATCGCGTTTCTTCGTGCAATAGGTATTGTAAACGTTGATTACCTCCGGATGCCTGTCCAGAACATGTGATCTGTAGAAGAGGTATCTCGCCACCTGTTCAGCCGCCTTCAGATCTGAGCGGAGAGTGTAGGCCATGAGAGTGTATAGAGATGCCTTGTAGTCCGTCACGGAAGCTGAAAAAGTACCAGTGTTTTTTAAAAATTATAACATAAACAAAAATTGACTGCAAACATGAAATTAAAAGTCAGAGTGGTATTTTGAAACCCTCAGATTTATTTCGTAGTCTTAATAATATAGCTTAGAGATGGTGATTAATGGTTTGGAGTTTGGTTGAAGAAATATTGTTTTAGTATGCTATGGATGGGGGAGCGAGCTGGCGTAGCGATTAGAGCACGGACTTCAGTCCCTGAGGTCCCGGGTTCAATCACCGCCAAGTCACCAATGGATTTAATCTAAGTGATAATGCCGCAACCCCTAGGTCTAGCCTGAAGTAATGTGAAAACAACCCCAGGCTCGTGCCTAGCGTCCTAGGACAAAAAAAATATGCCATGGATGAACGAATAACCATCTTAAGGTAGTATTTTAGCTTTTGGATTACAGCGTAAAATTATTCAAGTATGTTCAAGATGCTTCAAATCTCCCTTATACAAAGTTCTGTTCTTTCATGAAAATTCGATATATTATATGATTTATTAAGTTAATTTATTAGAGATATCTAACAAATATACTTGCATTATTTTAAATTAAACTTAAATGTTTATGAATTTATGGTTTCTAAAATGGATGTTTTGAAATATATGATTTAATGAAGGGGATGTTCTGATGAAACTCTTTGCATACTTATGGCAAAATTTATTAATAGGTTTCATGAGAAATATATTTATAAATGCCATAAACAGTTTTACCTGTAAGAACTGGTTTGCTGGTTTGAGCGACTCCCTCTTCGTACAACCAGTCCGTGTTTTCAGGAGGTCTTGGCCAGCCAAAGTCACCCTCCTCATTAGTGGATACATTGCCTAGCCGCTCCATGGCCAATCTGGCCAGCTCACTGTTGGCCATGACCAGGGCATGGGCCAGCATGGCCAAGGGACAGCCCTCGTTTACGTGGTACACGTTTCTTTCCAAGAAGTAACGGGATTTCAGTACCATTTCGCTGTCCTCCTGTGAAAAAATCACAATTGTATTTTTAAAGGATAATGGAACTAAAATTGATTGATTTATTAGTCTCTTACCTTTGTGGGATTGGTGATCTGGCTTATAGGTGTAATTTCTAACAGTTATATATGTATTTTATAAATTAAAATATTGTAAGCAAAATTTGCCTTTAGCCATTATTTTTTCCGATTTAGATTAAAAGAGCACCTATAAGTCCCTAAACGGCGAGTACAAAAATTTAAATTTTACGCAGCGCATTGTAGATAGTGCTTTGCATTGAGGACATTTAATGGTGGTCCACACATTTTATACTTCTTAGGAAACGGGCAATAACTAAATAAAGTAGAATAACTCGAAAGCCTGTCAAATAGGACAGATATTTTTAATCAAAATCTCTATTACAAGCCGGATGTTTTTTCATTTCTCTCTTTTATTTGTAAAGAGTAGAATCCGCTGATGGTAACACAGACGACAATTTTTAGAACACATCAGTTTGAATTGCGAAGGACAGATTACATTTAGTCAGTCCCACGACGATTTACGTGCATTTAACTAATATGCCAATCTGTAATAATTTTGATTTCGCGTGTAAACCATGTTTTGAGATCTTAAACAAGTTTTGATTACTCCTTAAGAAGTCGGACACTCCTTACGGTTGCAGAGTCTTAAATAACCGAAAGAAATGTATCACGTCTACTACCAGTTTTATGGGTCAATACTAGTTTTATGAGGTATTTTCAGCCAGTAATTGTAACAATACGCAGTTATTTGATAAAACAAATAAATTATATCTTATTACTTATTGTTCTTTTAAAATCTAATATTAAATGCATAATGTGTCACAAAATATTGAAATTCTTCGGGACGATTAAGTGTTTATACAGTCTCAGAGGCTTTTAAGAACACCATGTCTCTTATAATGGAATGAGTCAATGGAAAGGATTCCACTACACTCAATCAATCAACAAAATAAAACAATGGTAAGCCTAGAGACCACAAGTAAAATTATGTGTAGTAGTTGACGTTAGCTTTTCAATATATTTACGGCAGCAAAAAAAAGTTTGATTTAATTTAATAGGACGTCTAAAGCCTATTCAAAACGAAATTAAAAATTATACACTCAGTCTTTTAAGCTCACAACCACACGAATGGTTCGTTAGTTTGCTGAAACTGTCAACACAAGCTAGCCTGTGAACCGTACTGTTCTAATGATGAGGTTAGTATCATTGTACATCATTGTTGACCTTCAGTAAATATTTGGCCTAACATGTGATTGATTAGTGTGCACTGTGTAACATGTCTGCAACATTTTTTATTTAGTCTGGATACTAAATTATAACAAACATTAGGTTGCTTATTTGATATATGTAGTATTTTTTATTAAGAATTCAGTAGGACGTTTAGAATACAATTGTTTAGGCACCCGAGTCGTTATAATGATTGCCTTCAAATCATAAGGACGCTGGTCTAATGCCACACAATATCAATTCTGGAGAAATATGTAATTTGTGATTAGGTCTTAAATTAATTATGCTATTTAACTAATTGTTGACGTTATACAGTTTCAAGACCAGAGTTTACACAACCTTTATAAAAGATTTTAAAAATATAAACGGCTTTCATAAACCCAACATAATCATCGACAGGTGGTTTGAAAGACATTCAAGGTTTATGAAGAAAAAAACTTAGTCAAGTAAAGGTTTGTTGCAAATATAAACTACTATTAACGATTCGTAGGAAAATGTTATGGCTTAACCCTTATTGGTTAAGTTACCATATAGGTAGGACCATGGGTTCATGCCCTTTTATCAGCTTTAAAATTCAAATTTTAAAATATTAGCACTGTTCCCTCCTGAAATGTATTGACTAACATTTTCTGGAAATGTGTTTGTAGAAAGAGGAAAGCAAAGCTGAAAGAGGCTAGTAACCTTTTGAAATAAAAGAACAACTGTTGTAGCCTAGTTATAACAGATAACCTTATTTCCAGATCATTCTGTGGTGCATATTCTTTTGTGGAAGTGTCTTCTTTAGTGTCATTTTATTATGAAAGAAGGACAAATGCTTTAAGATGAAAGTAGGTGTTTATGCTGGGAATCCAGAGAATTTTGATGTCCTTCACAAAAACGTCCATCCCTAATCTGAACCCCTGACCACCAGACAAGCAATGATCCCCTGAATTGTTATCAGCGAATTATACACGAACAGTGAACACTTTAATTTACTCAAACATATCCTAGTATCAAATAGGATGTTGGTAGTTTACAAAAGATCCTTACCTCAGTTTCTACTCCAATTCCGATAAGAGTGGTCAGGGTTTCCGCAGTTGCTTGTATCTTCTGGCTGAGCTCGCTGGCGTTATCAACAGTTGTTTCTGAAGGACAAGGGCTCAGGCTGCCATCTTTGGCTTGTCTTCCTCTCAACCAGTCCTTCACCTTGGAGAGAATATCAGGGTCGATCCCCAAATACGACTGAGCCCTCGAGAGGATATCCAGACTTTGCAAAGTCGCCCTGAAAAATTGTGATGCATTATAACAATATCCTAAAGGGCATTAAGACGCATTATAACTATTACTCGCCTTTGGCTCGCTGGGGGCTCCGCCCCCAGGCCCCCTAGCTGTTAGTCGTCATTATTAGATTAGAGTTGTAACAAAGCAGGCAGTGAACCAGTCAATATAACGTTATATAAAAACAATTTCACGAATACATTAGGGGAGGTTGGCAAGTTAATTTCAAGAACTCCAACTTAAAGAACCCCTTATAAAAAATCTTTTTGAAAGTTGCGGTAAGAGAGTATGTTAGTAAAGTATTTTTACAACTGAGTTTTTGGCCAACAAAATAAGGCGAATGGGGATCGTTATAGTGAAAATCGATATTAAATTAAATACGATTTAACAACTATATTAGAATAGATCGATATTTAATAAGTTGATATCAGTTAAGTGATGTATGAAGTAAAAAGGTGGTAGTAAGTTTTAAAATGTCTTTTTTGAAATTTAGGAAGGGGTGAGAAGCAATCACCAAGAAGCCGGGAAATTTCAAGTCCGTAGCACACCTAGAAGTGGTCTAGATAGCACTCATAGCATTTCTCAAGTCTCAGTCAAATTTGAAGTTAACGGTTCTAATGTCCATACCAAAGTTAGAAACTTCCCATAAAAATTACATAATGATCACTAAACAAAGCGATTGTCAGCTCAAGAGTTTTGTGATCTACCATAAACTTGCACGACAAAGCCTTACATTTTACAGTTATTCTCAGCTGTTACACTTACCAAAGACTAGAAACATTGACGTGGTCTCCAAATGAGCCGTCCTCTTGTCGGAACACCAGAAGATTCTGGATATGTGTGGACAGCGATCGCAGCTGAGCGTCTGAGGCATTGCTGGACATGTTACCTAGGACTAGTGGAGCCAGTCTGGCAATCGCTGTGGCGAGGCTGGTGAAAAAGTACTATGTTAAATTCATCAAACAAACAAAAACACAAAACATGAACAATTAAAAAAGGTGTAATTACTATGTTGAGTCACAAACCATTATTACCTGGAACCGATTACTGATACATATTTTAAGATGTGCGTAAGAAAATTTCATATTTTCCTTTATTTCATAACCCTTACACGAAAAAATCAAGAAGGTCTAATTATAAAAAGGAAGCGTAAATTGTGCTTCAGGGCAAATTTATTTGTTATTTATTTCCTTCAAAGCAAACACATGATAACAAAATATATACAAGTAATAAACGTAATTATTTTATCCACAATTAAGTTAAACTACATATGCCTAACGAATTGTGAATTATAAACAACAAATTATTTTAGTTTATAAGACTATTCCAAAACTAATTAAGTACTTATATTTATTGCAGATACTTATGGTTTGTGGAAAATAATGTTCAAACTCACAAACCAACGGATAAGTATTCCAAAGTTTATGTTTTAAAATGCCTAACAGTTACAAATGTTACTAACACGAGTCCAATCAAAGTCATATCAAAGGTTAGTTTCAATTATAAGATGTATTCGAGAACTAACAACTATTTCAATTTTGAATAAATTAGGGAGGATGTTTGAAAGGTTTCCCAAGCAATTCCGAACGCTGAATAATTTATAAGGGCGGTGCTTGATGTGAAGGGGAACCAAAGGGACCCACAACATGTATTGCCTCGGGCCCTGACTACCCGTACTATGGAAATGTTGGGCATACGTAATCTTCATCACACAACTTTGGTGTATGCAATATTAATGGACTTGCATGTTGAGGCGGTATGGCTATGTAGACATCTATTAAAGTTCAATACTGTTATAATACAATTAAAATATAATTTCGTTGCACTCGGTTTAGCTCTATGTTGTTTGTGTTTCAAAACCATATTATAATATGGTTATTATAACATTAAAATAACAAATGTCCGTATATGAATAATTGACAATAAACTGCTACTTAAAAAAGAACAAAACACCTAAATCTTTAGTCGTATTGTTACAAATTTTTATTTCGAGACTTTTTTTCTGTATCTGTTATAATTCAATTATTAAATTTAGAATATTATAAAGGAACAACATCTAAACAATAAAGATTTCGTAAACATAAATTATCGTTTGTGATGGTACAAATATTACAAATGTGTTATTTTGTTTATGAATAATTAATAAATTGTAAATATAACCTTAACATGTAGCTAAAACAAGTTACCAAAGCTGTCACCAAGCAACAGAATTCTAAATTAACGCTCTCTGCCTCTCTTATATTATCTTTGACGTCTCAGTTATACTCAAGACTTGATGTTTGTGCGTATAAAATAATTCGCCGTTGGCTTGATGGGACCTCCGCCCCAGAGGCGGACCGTGTAGTGGGGAATTTTTATCAGGTATACCCCTACCGTACTGCCAATAATAATAACTATACTTAAATAAACTAACTATAATAATAAACTATACTTAAACACCATTAAGAAGAACATCATATATAACGTCCGTGGACTTTTGATAAAACGTACTTCCCCTATTGTACTGTTAATGTTTTAAAGTCACAAAGGGAGAGGAGGTGGTTAGTTGAAGTAGATCCCTTAGCCTACTGGAGAAGTCAAATCCGGGTTGATGATGATGATGGGTTTTTGTGTATGCTGCTCCATCTCGGACACGTTTGGGATGGTCACAAACGACTATATGCTCTGGATGTCTGACCATACTGAGCAAGGCGCACAATTGCCTTACGTAAAGATATCGGTCCGCGAATCAACACCGACTAAATCTAAAGTCTGACCCTGGCTCTTGTGTCCGGTCACACAATAGGCCAACATCGATGGGAACTGACGTCGGTGAACACGTAACCGAACGCGACAGTAAAAGTAATCCGGGAAATACCGATTACTAGGTATATCCGGGAAGTCTCACTGTAATCAGCTGGTTGATAATTCCGGTCACAATGACCTTAGTGACGTTGACGAGTCCTGAAGTGATATTTAGATTACTCATTACGAATTAAGCGTATCCGACCTTCAACCACTATGTTCAGGAGTGGTACATCAACATCCAGGCCATCGTCGCTCTCTGTCAAGTTGCCGGCGCTCGTCAGCTCGTGCAGGTGACCACCAAATGATTTCAAGCTGTGGTCGTAGATCTAATTGACGTTTATATTTAATCTTTCAAGGTAAGTGGGAAGGCTTGCTTGTTCTTTAAGGGGACCAAAAAGGTACTATGGATATTTTTCCAAGAAAAGACAGAATAAAGATCAAGGATTCTACAATACCTGCTGTACTCTGCCAATGACTGAGGCCCCAGTGCTGAGGGAAGGTCTGCTAGGTAAAGTCCTCCATTTACCAGAAGAGTTCCACTCTCAGATCCAGGTAGAACAGAGTGAGGAACATCCAGGTGCAGGACCTGGGAGAATCCTGCCTCCTCGTTGTAGTTCCAGATCCTGCCACAGAAACAGATGGTACTTAAAGTTAAGTTAGTGTTAATCCAAATCCGCCTATGCTTAGGATGGAATCCGCAATTGAAATGATGAATTTTCCCTAGAGCCCTAAGACATACAAAGATCAAACATAAAATTGTAGTCATGGTTCAGGCCTGAAGCAGATTTTATTCTGGATTAGTACTTCGACTATCTGCGGTACTATCCTGATAATTAGACCAAATCGTTAATTACAAGAAAAAAATTTGGTTAGGATTCCACTAAACTCTGTTGGACCCTTGGGTTTCATTGACTGTTACGCTTTAATTAACAGCTGTGTCTAAGGAACATGTCGGCCTTTAACAAGACTACAAGATCGTACCACTAATCTTACACTCATCCTTGACTCATATTTAAATAAAATACGCACCTAATAGCGTCCCCAGACCTCGAAGAATTGATTTTACGTTTGATCTAAGAATAATTATCTTTGTCATTGGGGAACCTGTTCAAATTAATTAATGGGTTTACTTTGTTTTTGAATAAATATAATAACCCTTATTTTAATGACAAAAACAACAACGTGAACTACAGGCAGTTTTCGTAGCTTAAAAACACAATTTCAGTAATGTAATTAATCATATAGTGTATGCAATGGTTAGTTGGATAGACTTGTTGTTCCTTTAATTTATCTTGAGCTAGGCTAAATATGTATATTCAAAATACTTATTGGTTTTCAATAAAGATATACAATTTTAAAATTGCACTGAAAATGTATTTTGAATCATCGTAAATATTTAATAATTGAAAAATGAAAAACTTATTGGAAGTAGTGATACAATTATCTAATCCCAAATAAAAAGCAAATTTTCAAGCACCTAAGAATCATCTGATTATAAATTTAAGCGAGTTTCAGAGACTAAAGTGTACACTCGTATTGCAATCCTCCTGCTTTATTCAAGCCACTTTCTTGTTTTAGCCCTTCTTTATGTTTGTTCCTAGAATATTAAACTACCCTCGTTTTACGTGGTAGTAAAGTTGCAGCTGTCACTGGCAGAAGACGTTTCACATATTGAGCTGGCAGGTAGTCATATGTATCCGAGACGTTTAAACTCGTATTTTGCATGAAGGATAAACAACTAATTCCAAGGTGTCGTTTACAATCGAAAGGTAAATTATATTAAAATGCAACAACTTTCAATACATCTTTAATAGTTCACAGGCACTAAGATATATTAACATTCTTTCACGGGTAGAGAAAGAAATAATCTTATAAGGTAAATATTTACTACCAATTTGAGGTTCATTTATATCAACAATTTATCGCTATGGTATGTGTTCACGCAGCATTCTCCCCCCCCCCCCACACATTCTCTGTCACACATTACCACCCCACCATTATAGGCACTCACTTATATTCCCTATGCCTAAACTCGCTCCATATACGTCAGACTGTTGAGTGAGAGCTCATTTCAACATCTCTTAGTGGTAAATAACAACTTATTTTCAACTTTATTGATAATTTATCAATAAATGATGTATAAATAAAATATACATAGAAAATGTCCTTTTTATATATATCATTGGCAATAACTATTTTAACTATTGTATATTTAAAAATGCAATTGTGGCTTAATACCTATGGGATTTGTAGCATTTTTTTTTAAATATCCGATATTCAAAAGGGTCTTTAAAATATTTCCCATATCTCCTATGATTGTTTTTTAGCATTTAATATACCATTACCATGGTTTACCATAAAAATTATTGTCATGATATTTAATAATTAAGGCCTATACGTATAAATCGTAAGTGAAAATAACCAAATTGAAATTATTTGATTTTGTGAAATAATTTAATCCCCAGTAATATAATTTTACAGCCAATAATTATGTTTTTTTAGTTATTAATTTGCAATCAAAGAACCATTAATATTTAATCATTCATTGTTTCATTTGAAAAGTATATGAATATATTATAGACAAAACAACGCATTGATAAATTAGAGCATGTGAGGCACAGTTATTGTTTATGTAAGTAGAAAATTAACTCAGTGATGTTGAATTGAATTCCAAATTACGTAAATAATGAATTGTTTGTTAAATAATATTTCCTAAAATATTATATCACAACCTCATGTTTCAATAAATTAATAGGCCTATACATTCGAAATATTTTGAATAGGGTAATTTCTGAACTGGGATTTTGATAATTATTAAAGGATATAATCATTTCCCTATAGCTCAATCACATTACAATTTAGGTATGATGTTAATAGCTATAAAACGGATATTCCTATTCATTAAAATTTATTCAAGTATGGAAAAAAGGGTTAATGAGGGTACTTTTTATTGCTTTATTTGTAACTTATTATCACTCTGATAAAAAATAATAAAAGGAAAATATGAAAAATCTTGCAAACAATTTACATATCAGATATTTATACTGTGCTTGTATCTCTAATTAATTCTTTAAAAAGTTTTACCTAAAGTCGGCCTTCTTCCTCCAGGATGTAGTGAAGCCTACGAAGGCTACTTTGGTCTTCTTGTTCATCTTCCACTTAAGAAGCGTGTTGGAGTGGAAGACAAAGCCTCTTCCACAGGACACACTTCCTCTTTCCCAGGACACCCAGAAAGTCCTTGACTCTTCCGTGGACAGAACCCCGTGGGTCTCTGCGCTCACTAGGTGTACGCCATAACCTGCACAGGGCAAGTCAGTGTATTTTTAGGTTGTTCTAATTTCATATCCAATGATGTCAAGATCTAGCCCGGAACTGTTTTACATATTCCTTCTAGACCAATTCTAGAGGTTCATGGTATAGCCACTAGATAAAAGCAATAGTGATTGGCGTGATTTGGACCCATGACCTCAGGAATCAACGCCTTCTACTACCTAAGTTCTCGCTCCTAAGTCAGTATATCAAGAGAATTTTACATTAACACAAGAGGTCTTTATGGCAGATTAATTTTAGAGTATATGTTCTCCCCTTCAATATCAATGGTTGGCAGTTGGGAAAAAGCCAATATATTTGGTGTATTACTGTGTGTAATTTAAACGGTAAAACACACACGATAATGTTTTTGAAACGAAACTAGAACCATCAAAAGAATAGCAGCCTTTCGTATTAGACGTTTAGCTTATTACCTCCGGTGAAAATTCAATTTAATGGCAAACCATTGTAAACAAACAGGAACCTTTTGTCTAGTGGTAGAGAATGAAACATCGGTCCCCAAGGTAACGTGTCCGAATACCAACAAAAACATTAATGATGTTTATCCATATGATAATAACGTGATCCTCTCGGCCTAAACTGTCGTAATGTGTAAAACAGTTCTATTGTCTAGGGATGAGAATGTGGAAACTAATATCAAAATATAGGCCACTAGTAGATCGTAAAAATAAAAATCTCGTAAAATGATGCAATTAAGATTGTTACAAGCTAATTGGCACTATTCTAAAACTCGCTGACACAGAAAACTAATTAAATACCTAATAACTCCTTACCAACCATCTTCGTAAACGAAATTTTATGGTTAGTGATGAGTGTAAATGCCTTACAATGATTGCTTTGTTAAGGGGCGAAAACAATGAGATTGTCTTCTAGTTTTGGTGGTGAGAATTTACCAAAACAGAAGACACGTCTTCGTCTGAGCAGCATATCCTTTTTAGCAGCTTAATATTAAGGTGGGTCCCGAACTTATAGGTTACGGCATTATGATGTAGGTAAAGGCTATTGGTGATTAAAGGGTTTTTTATTCAAAGGAATACGTTCCCCTACTACATTAACTGACCATGTTTGCCCCTGGCAATGTAGCTGACGTCATTGTCGATCACCAGCAGATACGAAGTGGCTGTAGTAGCTTGGTGTTCACTCAGAGCTATATGCACCCCTCCAGCAGCTCTCACCTCGAAAACCAACCCCTCTCTGTTACGGGGGGCTGGCACAAACTCAAACTTGAAGTTCTCCGGTTCCGATATCATCATTTTCTCTGGAAAATAAAGAAGCAATTGAAAGGTTTTTGAAATAAAAAAATAAAAAAGAGAGTTTTGGAGAGTCCATTGAAAGCTTTCTGAAAAGTGATGAAACATAAATGGCAGTTGGTCAAATACCAAAAGTCGAAAATAAGTAGGAGTAACATTTTTGATTTCTGCTAGGCAAAGACTTTCTTTTGTTATTTTTTAAGTTATTTTTTTAAGTGATGGACGTAATTGATTTTTTTTGGGGTTTATCTTGGAATGGGAAAACTATTTAAATATTTACGAGTAGAGAAGGGTAAGAAATTTCAGTTTGCCAAGTATCAACAGCCCATAAGTGCAAGGTTGTTATTATTCCATTGAAACCAGACAGTGTGGTTTCTTAAGTATCCGACTATTTATGGCTTTAACAAAATGATTGACTTAATATGACATAAATTTTATAAAGTTTTGTTGTTTATATTTTCTAAATAGTTAATTTAGCCAATATAAAATCACGTTTACCACTTAAAGTTTTGTAGTCTTGTTTAATTTTATTATTTAATGCATTGGGCGACTTATAATTATAATTAGACCTACTAAATACTAAGTCTATTATGCAAGCAGAGACCTGAACATAAATAGTTGACGGTAAGAAAGTTCCCTGCGTATGAATTGTATAGGTATGGAGCAAAAGTAAACAAAAGCTTTTGAGTGAAGCAGTTTTAATCTTCTAAGGGCTTAAGGCTATCTCGTGTATCACCTCAGAGCCAAACCATTTTAGAGGTTCTTTCAAAGCACTCTTCATAGGAACATATGTTTTCCTGCTTAATGTTTTGGTGGTATGATACAAAAAGATAATGTCCAGAACTATCTATCGTTTAAATTGCTTCTTCAATGAGCGTTTCTAAAAAAAGATATTCACCTTGATTTTAAAGAGTTTAACATGTTTTTACAGTTTTTTTTATAAGCGTTCCTATAGCAAGAAATTACATTGGGTTACTTAAACATAGTGGCTGATTCTGCCCACCCACATCATTTCTATACACGTTCGTGGGAACAGTCCCGCAGAGCAAGGGGGTGAACAGGTACAAAACAAGAATTAACTGCACTACGCAATTTTACGTGACAACAACTAGGACGCGGAAGCAAAAGATCAATGCTTTCTTTGCGGTAAAAATGTATTTTTGGCCTAGTGATGCATAAAATGTGTTTGTTTTTAACACGTTTGAATGCTTATTTAGTTCTTTTGGTCATAGAGCTTTATCAAACACCTCATTTAAAAATATCATCAATTGCCATCCTTACTAATGCAGGTAATATAAACATATTTTTTCCTACTAACCGTTGGCGCAGAAATATGCGCTCTCGGTATGGGAACGCACCAGACCCTCATGGTAGACCATGATCTCTGCTGATCGAACGACTGTGCTGACCAAGGAGTGGTTACCGTGGGCCCCTGAAGAGTCACTGATCGTCTGGCAGGTCTCACTTATGAATGCTGACACTTCAACTGAAACAGCCCAGTATAAACTCACTTTACAGTCTCTAAAAAAACAATTTATGGTTTTTGATGTTATTGTAAAATTGGATGGTCTTGGAGCTCAAATTAATTTAAGACATTGGAGATTAGGATTTAATTCAGGAAATGAGATGTATAGTTACATGAACCATCCTGTAAGGAATGATGAGGTAACAAGGCACTTTTCTCATGATGCATGGGGGGGGGGGAACTTTGATGCATAGTTAAAAATACAACACATATTGTGTATTTACGTATGTGTATTTATGTATTTATGTAACATAATAGAAGGTATTTATGTTTGTGTATTTACTATATAATGTGTTTTTGATGGGCACTCGGAACATAAACTTGGAAGGTTTTAATATTATTTACATTGATTTTTCAGGAACCATATGCTTTTAAAAGAATACAGTGCAAGCTCATCTCTGTAGATGTACTAGAAATCTAAAATGACCTTACTACGCCAGAAATAGACATTTTTATACGTAATATTTGGATTTTACAGCCCGTAAAACTTTATCGAGTCAAAATGAAGAGACATTTAATTGACGGGAATCTCTACAATTTTGAATTTTGGTGTTTTACATTTCAGGTTTTACTCTATTATTCTGACCAAAGCCAAAATTAGTTTTTGATTCTCTTAGTTTAAAAAATAAACTAAATGATTTTATACTAAAGTTACAACTTTTGAAAAAGTATGAAAAATGATCCACATAGAATTGCTAATACGCAGGTAGCAATTCTATATTGCTATAGAATAGAATAAACAAGGTTAATGTCCTTGTTTATTTTGTGTCAAGGCATAGTCTTTGTTTATCAACAAACACATATTTACATTACTCTGACCCTGAGATGAAACAGTTTTTACGTCCCACAATAATCTTTAAAATAAAACAGATTTAGTTTCATAATTTAATTTATGGTAGAGTTAGTCTCCAAAAAAATAATTTCACGTCGTTTTCACAAATTTAAATATGCCTATATGTAATATTGATCAATGTTAAAAGGTTTTCCGCTCTAAGACGTCATGTCTTAGAAGAGTGTATAAATATTCATCCCCTTGTTGTACAGTAATAAATCGTGGAATGTCTAGGGTTGTATAGGAACGATGAAGATTGCATCCCTTTTGAACTTCGGCGCAACATGTTCAGGGAGTTGAGGGGTAGTTTGTGAATATTGCTTTGGGACAAAGACCAAAAGTTGTAAGCAGGAGTATTTCTCTGGGACAAGTCATTTGTGTGCATTGCTTTTTAAATATGAATTGGTGGAAGTCCATGATGCAAACTTTAAATTATATTTTGAAGATACAACGTATAACATTGTATCAAACGTTCTTAGATAAATATTTGATGTTATATTTATTAAGAAGAGAGATAAAATATTGATGATTTACTGAAGGTTGCTTGCAATTGTTTACTATTTCAAGTTATATTAACCGAAAATAGCTTAAATAAATTACAAGGAAACCAGATTAGATTAGATAAACAAGATATATTAGCTTATTAAAAATGCTAAATAAAAAAAACACTCTTTTAATCAACGTTTATATTTTATTTTCGGTTAGTACAAAGCTACTATATTATTTGATACAAATCCTTCATCGTAGGTCTAATATTTTAGGAGTGTTAACTTTCACTTAATTTGGTTTAGAATCAGAAGATCCGGTTAGAACAAAAATTTACCCTAACTAAGAATAGTTTTTGCCATGCAGAAAAAAACCATAAAGCCATGCAATGGATCATATACTGTAAAATATATTCCTGACATTACACTATGTATGTACATGTGTGTATTTACTATGTATGTATGTATGTTTGGGAATTGAAAAAAAATTGTGTTAATCAGATTTAATGCAAGCAATGAGTTCCCCAAGCTACGGAGTTGCACATTGTATATGGTTGTTAGGTTATTATAATTTTAATTGTATAGTAAATCAATTTGTATGCTTATTTTACCAAGTTATTGTTTAGATTTTTTTTATGTGTAGTGAAGTGTGAAGAACTTTTATTTTGATGAAGCAGCCAGTTAAGGACTCTTATCACGCACAGGTCATTGTGACCTATGTGATATTTTTATTTTTGAATGCATTGCTGCAGAATAATTTGTATAAATAAAGAATTTATAAATAACCACTTCCACTCTAATATATTTCTATCGTGGGGTGCATTTCCCCCTCGACCCACCCCCAACCAGTATTTTCGTTTGTCTAGTGGGATGTGACTAGCTAAGCTTTATTGAATTAATCGAACCAGCAACATCGGTTGCCACTCTATCTAATGCACAATTGGAAACAGTGAAACCGCTAGTACGACAGCAAATCCAAAGAACAAACTATCTGTGATGATAGTAGTAGTTCAATAGCATTTTGATTGTAAGTTTAATATTGGTGAGTCAGGTATCTTGACACCAAAGCTCTAATAATTTATCGAATGTTTGTGTAGTTTTAGGAGAATATTATTATTTAATCTACAAATATTACGAAAAGTAGTATAACAATTAGAAGGCCATAATAATCTAGTTATTTAGTTAACCAGATACAAATGGTAATGGTACAATAGATAATAAACACTCACCAGTCATTTTCTTGAGGCCGGGACTAGTTGCAACCAGTTTGATGACCAAGGAAGTTGCGCCTTGTGGTCCTAGGCGTAACTTCTCTGCCACGAAGGGCTGGTTCACCCCAGCAAAGTGCGCCCCTTCATTGAGCGACAGCAGAGCGTTTACCTAAAACCCACAGTGAAACAACCATTTAACACATCTAAAAACGAAACATACAAATCAAGAGACCAACTTGGGATAAAAATACCATCCCAACATCCAACATCTTGGTTAAGCTGATTTCCCTTTGGCCAAAAAAGCCTAGAGTTTATCGCTGTGTACCGATAAGGGAGCTGCTCTCTAGTTAGTCACAACTGGTATCGCTTTTCATTTTGTTCTTAAAAGCTTATGTCGGATCGTTTCCGATAAGTCCCATTTTCCCTGTAAAAACCCAGTTCAGGACTAAATCACTCTTCATATTGAAACCCTTGTGATATTGAAGATTTGTGTTATTTAATCTAAGAATATAATGTATATAATGGATTTAAAACTAGATAAGAGCACTTGAAAAATTTGAACTCACATCAACACAAGAATTTACGTTGTTGCCAATCTTCACATCAACCTCCAGACTTTCCCCGACGTTGATGCTAGGTGCGAGTCGGAACTCAACCTCTACGGGGCGGAAGACTGAGAGACTGGCTGGCGGGGAGAACTGGAGTCTACGTCCAGGGGCTGGGGACAGGATGAGGGCAAAGAGGGTCCACTTCCCTGGCAGAGGAGGCGCAGGCACCGTCAACCCTGTGGCTTCCACCTCGGTCCTACACAAGCATCACGTGATAAAATACATCAGTTACGGTAGAGGAGAACCAGCACACACTTCCCTGGCAGAGGAGGCGCAGGCACCGTCAACCCTGTGGCTTCCACCTCGGCCCTACACAAGCATCACGTGATAAACTACATCAGTTACGGTAGATGAGAACCAGCACACACTTCCCTGGCAGAGGGGGTGCAGGCACCGTCAACCCTGTGGCTTCCACCTCGGCCCTACACAAGCATCACGTGATAAACTACATCAGTTACGGTAGATGAGAACCAGCACACACTTCCCTGGCAGAGGGGGTGCAGGCACCGTCAACCCTGTGGCTTCCACCTCGGCCCTACACAAGCATCACGTGATAAACTACATCAGTTACGGTAGATGAGAACCAGCACACACTTCCCTGGCAGAGGAGGCGCAGGCACCGTCAACCCTGTGGCTTCCACCTCGGCCCTACACAAGCATCACGTGATAAACTACATCAGTTACGGTAGATGAGAACCAGCACACACTTCCCTGGCAGAGGGGGTGCAGGCACCGTCAACCCTGTGGCTTCCACCTCGGCCCTACACAAGCATCACGTGATAAACTACATCAGTTACGGTAGATGAGAACCAGCACACACTTCCCTGGCAGAGGGGGTGCAGGCACCGTCAACCCTGTGGCTTCCACCTCGGCCCTACACAAGCATCACGTGATAAGCTACATCAGTTACGGTAGATGAGAACCAGCACACACTTCCCTGGCAGAGGGGGCGCAGGCACCGTCAACCCTGTGGCTTCCACCTCGGCCCTACACAAGCATCACGTGATAAACTACATCAGTTACGGTAGATGAGAACCAGCACACACTTCCCTGGCAGAGGGGGTGCAGGCACCGTCAACCCTGTGGCCTCCACCTCGGCCCTACACAAGCATCACGTGATAAACTACATCAGTTACGGTAGATGAGAACCAGCACACACTTCCCTGGCAGAGGGGGTGCAGGCACCGTCAACCCTGTGGCTTCCACCTCGGCCCTACACAAGCATCACGTGATAAACTACATCAGTTACGGTAGATGAGAACCAGCACACACTTCCCTGGCAGAGGGGGTGCAGGCACCGTCAACCCTGTGGCTTCCACCTCGGCCCTACACAAGCATCACGTGATAAACTACATCAGTTACGGTAGATGAGAACCAGCACACACTTCCCTGGCAGAGGAGGCGCAGGCACCGTCAACCCTGTGGCTTCCACCTCGGCCCTACACAAGCATCACGTGATAAACTACATCAGTTACGGTAGATGAGAACCAGCACACACTTCCCTGGCAGAGGGGGTGCAGGCACCGTCAACCCTGTGGCCTCCACCTCGGTCCTACACAAGCATCACGTGATAAGCTACATCAGTTAAGGTAGAGGAGAACTAGCACACACTTCCCTGGCAGAGGGGGTGCAGGCACCGTCAACCCTGTGGCCTCCACCTCGGTCCTACACAAGCATCACGTGATAAGCTACATCAGTTAAGGTAGAGGAGAACTAGCACTGTGATAAACAGCTGTAGTGATGGATTACCATTGCCACTACGATAACATACTGTTGCGATGTATGACTGATGTGATGGACTAGTGTTATAAACATAGGTAGTGATGAATTACTCTTGTATTATACAGTTGAAATACTGTTATAACATTAATATATTGTTGTGATGGATCTGAATAGTCGTTATTTAGGTACTAATATTTTAATAATTTATTTATTTATTTAGTACTTATTGTAAAATAACCTAGTATGTTACTCTTGTGAAGTACTAAACTTTTTTATAATCTACCTCATTTAATCCGTTACAATTCACCTGGGACGGAATACTAGGAAATATCTGACTATTCTACCATATCTTTAATTTTCATAACAGCAATTTATTTTACCTACGTTGGATATATTACCTTTTATTGTAAATACATTTACTTGCAACATTTAAGCAACAATAGTGCGAAATTATATGACTTCATATTATTCACATGTTTCTAGTTTTGACTACTGATAAATTTGAAGATTGGTTTCCAATATTCTGAAAACATTAGGAGAACTATGCTTTTGAAGAGACAAAACCACATCAGGAATAATGTCTCACCCCTATTCTACCAATACCGCACTAATGTTGTACTCACTAACGTTGTATTAGACTACATGTGACTCACGTATAGTTGAAGCAGTGCCACAACCACAGTTGCTCCAGGCCAGAGTGTAACATGACTGTACGACGTGGCTCTCTCAGAGAGGAATGTCTCACCCCTCCTCAACTACTACCACACTAATGTTGTATAAGAATACATGTGACTCACGTATAGTTGAAGCAGTGCCACAACCACAGTTGCTCCAGGCCAGAGTGTAACATGACTGTACGACGTGGCTCTCTCAGAGAGGAATGTCTCACCCCTCCTCAACTACTACCACACTAATGTTGTATAAGAATACATGTGACTCACGTATAGTTGAAGCAGTGCCACAACCACAGTTGCTCCAGGCCAGAGTGTAACATGACTGTACGACGTGGCTCTCTCAGAGAGGAATGTCTCACCCCTCCTCAACTACTACCACACTAATGTTGTATAAGAATACATGTGACTCACGTATAGTTGAAGCAGTGCCACAACCACAGTTGCTCCAGGCCAGAGTGTAACATGACTGTACGACGTGGCTCTCTCAGAGAGGAATGTCTCACCCCTCCTCCCCCACCTCTGCCACAGTCGTGTTGAGCCAACCACAGCCCAGCCTGAGAGAAGTCCACACTCTCCATCTGCTTGCTGGTCAAACATACAAACAGGTGTTGTAGAGACTATATACATACAAAGTACAGAAATATCGTATGGTACTGAAATAGCCCTTTTGACTAAGAACTTTTAGGATCTTTTCTGCTCTTCCCAATGGGGGGTTAAGCCAAGACTCCGCGTAATTGTTTTACCCTCAAATTTCGGACTACGTAAGGACCTACTACATACGTAGGACTTACATAGCTACATTTATTCTGCTTTGTTGAAAATTATTTAGTCCATTTGTTAACACAATTACTACTGAAATTTATATAAGCTCTAACATTCAAAACTATAACATTTTTGTTAACTAAATACTAGAATTAATTAAGGATTTAATGGGTAAAAAGGACTTGTCAAACTGTACTTCCACTCACATAGAACATGTTCTGCATCCTAAACAGATTTTTCTCTTTGTTCTTGACAGGATAAAAAGAAAAAAATGTTCAATATGTATTAATTTGATGGACATACTTAGATTTACTTTCCATCTACCGGTCCCTATTTTGACAAACTACTCAGTTCCTTGTTACCATTATCGCCATAGGACTTTTAAAATGAGAATTTGCTTTGAGTCACATTTGTTACATTTTTTTAAATAATTAATTTCCAAGACTTACTTTTCCTGTATCTCGCCACCTCGGCCTCCAACTAGACAGACGGTCGACCCTACCTCGGTGACCACAGCGACATCCATGGTGTCCCCGGGGTACCACGGCTGTCGATGCTCTACGTTCACGCTGGCCTGGAAGGAAACGTTACTTAAATATCAATAAAAACAATCACATTTAATATTTGGTAAATCGTGCAATGGTACGATATGAAACACAATACACCTGCATTACAAGACTAATCAAGTTTAGTTTATTACAAAACTCGACGTGAGAGTGCCTATGAGACGGGATTAGATTAAGGTGATAGGAGTTGCAACCTAAAGCCGTGGTCGTAAGTCAAAATTACGTTTAGATTTAGGAATCAGTGCCATGTAAACGTAGGCCTACGTCGTAAACATACGTATAAATATGTAAACATACGTTGATTGAGGAGGTATTTTGTTTAATCGTCCAAGTAACTGCAATTTTTAATTTCATCCAAGATTCAGTTTGTCTTGGAAAATTTCGTTTGATCAAAAAAATCATCAAGAAACTGAAAACGTACGTTTTACGATATATTACAGCATAAAACGATACTAATTTTGATTCCTTAAAATTACCTTAATTCTCATTGTCTCTATCTTTTTTCATTTTGAATTCCTACTAACACTGATCGTTAGGGGGGTGTACAATCCAAAAAACAATGAAATGTACAAGAATGTTGGACCAATTGTTTCGTGGTACACGAATAGGTAATTTTACTTGTATTATTATATCTTATAATATTTAACCGGTCGCATGTTTATAAAAACAAACAACTATAAATAAGTATTCACTGGCTCTAGGATGTTGTATTTACTTTTTGCTCTTTGGGAAATTGACGACATTTCTTATCTCTAAAGGTTATGTGTGAGCATTTCAATTATATTTATCGTTTATGCAGCACAAGTAGACTCGATGATTTAAGGAATCATTCTGACTTTATATTTCCACTTCTGTCTGTTGGAGCCTAGACGGTATAACTTAAGAAAAATTACAAAAGTAGGAAGAAATTCTAATTGCCCAGTGCACTCTATATTTAAATTACAATCACTTTCGTATGTGGATAAATATTTTCAGATGGAAAATGATTCTTCAGTGAATGTAAAATGAACGGAATTAACATTGTTATTATATTCGGCAAATCCAAGATGACCGATAGTCTCCATGGACTACCTTGGAAAACAATCACAAAACTACAAAGAAAATGTCTGATCTCACAGTACACTAGATATTAAAATTAAAATTTTTGGGAAGGCCTTTTTGAAAAAAATGTATTTGGATTATAAATAATCCTTATATAGCTGTTTGAAATAATCCAAGATGGCCGCCAGCCACCAAGGTCCCCTAAAAGACTTTTATATAGTTTTAGAGTGTCAAGAAAATGTTAATTTTCTTATGTTTGGGACAAATACAACTGCAGATGTTGAACAAAGACTTGTCCCAAAGCAAGTTCTAGTCAAAAAGGATAAAGTCCATATTAATTTGCTTTTTATTTTCAAAACTTTATTTAAACAATCAATAACATAGTAAAATAAAATATTATCATCATTACGATTATAAGGCTTTATTTTAAACATACAGTTATATTACTCCACCTGTCACAGAAAACAATTTAAACCACTGTTTCCGAATGTGTAATTCATCGTGGAATATTTAACCAATATCGTTGTCGATATTTTACGTTATTCGTTTGTGTGACAGACAGCTCATTCATCAATGGCACGAAGTTCAATTTGGTGACAATATTAATGGTCCCTTGACAGTCGTGACATTAGGCGGTTGTCGAGCCAAAACAACGCCTATAGAGTCTATAGTCTATAGTCGGTCTGTGAGATGCCACATAGTTCTTGTATTTAACAGGTGACAATATTAATGGTCCCTTGACAGTCATGACATTAGGTGCTTGTCAAGCCAAAACAATGCCTATATAGTCTATAGTCTATAGTCAGTCTGTGAGATGCCACATAGTTCTTGTATTTAACAGGTGGCAATATTAATGGTCCCTTGACAGTCGTGACATTAGGCGGTTGTAGAGCCAAAACAATGCCTATAGAGTCTACAGTCTATAGTCGGTTTGTGAGAAGCTACATAGTTCTTGTATTTAACAGATGACAATATTAATGGTCCCTTGACAGTCGTGACATTAGGCGGTTGTAGAGCCAAAACAATGCCTATAGAGTCTATAGTCTATAGGTTTGTGAGAAGCTATATAGTTCTTGTACTAACCAGTTGACAATATTAATGGTCCCTTGAAAGACGTGACATTAGGTGGTTGTCGAGCCAAAACAATGCCTATAGAGTCTATAGTCTATAGTCGGTCTGTGAGATGCCACATAGTTCTTGTATTTAACAGGTGACAATATTAATGGTCCCTTGACAGTCATGACATTAGGTGCTTGTCAAGCCAAAACAATGCCTATATAGTCTATAGTCTATAGTCAGTCTGTGAGATGCCACATAGTTCTTGTATTTAACAGGTGGCAATATTAATGGTCCCTTGACAGTCGTGACATTAGGCGGTTGTAGAGCCAAAACAATGCCTATAGAGTCTACAGTCTATAGTCGGTTTGTGAGAAGCTACATAGTTCTTGTATTTAACAGATGACAATATTAATGGTCCCTTGACAGTCGTGACATTAGGCGGTTGTAGAGCCAAAACAATGCCTATAGAGTCTATAGTCTATAGTCGGTTTGTGAGAAGCTACATAGTTCTTGTATTTAACAGATGACAATATTAATGGTCCCTTGACAGTCGTGACATTAGGCGGTTGTCGAGCCAAAACAACGCCTATAGAGTCTATAGTCTATAGTCGGTCTGTGAGATGCCACATAGTTCTTGTATTTAACAGGTGACAATATTAATGGTCCCTTGACAGTCATGACATTAGGTGCTTGTCAAGCCAAAACAATGCCTATATAGTCTATAGTCTATAGTCAGTCTGTGAGATGCCACATAGTTCTTGTATTTAACAGGTGGCAATATTAATGGTCCCTTGACAGTCGTGACATTAGGCGGTTGTAGAGCCAAAACAATGCCTATAGAGTCTATAGTCTATAGTCGGTCTGTGAGATGCCACATAGTTCTTGTATTTAACAGGTGACAATATTAATGGTCCCTTGACAGTCATGACATTAGGTGCTTGTCAAGCCAAAACAATGCCTATATAGTCTATAGTCTATAGTCAGTCTGTGAGATGCCACATAGTTCTTGTATTTAACAGGTGGCAATATTAATGGTCCCTTGACAGTCGTGACATTAGGCGGTTGTAGAGCCAAAACAATGCCTATAGAGTCTACAGTCTATAGTCGGTTTGTGAGAAGCTACATAGTTCTTGTATTTAACAGATGACAATATTAATGGTCCCTTGACAGTCGTGACATTAGGCGGTTGTAGAGCCAAAACAATGCCTATAGAGTCTATAGTCTATAGTCGGTTTGTGAGAAGCTACATAGTTCTTGTATTTAACAGATGACAATATTAATGGTCCCTTGACAGTCGTGACATTAGGCGGTTGTCGAGCCAAAACAACGCCTATAGAGTCTATAGTCTATAGTCGGTCTGTGAGATGCCACATAGTTCTTGTATTTAACAGGTGACAATATTAATGGTCCCTTGACAGTCATGACATTAGGTGCTTGTCAAGCCAAAACAATGCCTATATAGTCTATAGTCTATAGTCAGTCTGTGAGATGCCACATAGTTCTTGTATTTAACAGGTGGCAATATTAATGGTCCCTTGACAGTCGTGACATTAGGCGGTTGTAGAGCCAAAACAATGCCTATAGAGTCTACAGTCTATAGTCGGTTTGTGAGAAGCTACATAGTTCTTGTATTTAACAGATGACAATATTAATGGTCCCTTGACAGTCGTGACATTAGGCGGTTGTAGAGCCAAAACAATGCCTATAGAGTCTATAGTCTATAGGTTTGTGAGAAGCTATATAGTTCTTGTACTAACCAGTTGACAATATTAATGGTCCCTTGAAAGACGTGACATTAGGTGGTTGTCGAGCCAAAACAATGCCTATAGAGTCTATAGTCTATAGTCGGTCTGTGAGATGCCACATAGTTCTTGTATTTAACAGGTGACAATATTAATGGTCCCTTGACAGTCATGACATTAGGTGCTTGTCAAGCCAAAACAATGCCTATATAGTCTATAGTCTATAGTCAGTCTGTGAGATGCCACATAGTTCTTGTATTTAACAGGTGGCAATATTAATGGTCCCTTGACAGTCGTGACATTAGGCGGTTGTAGAGCCAAAACAATGCCTATAGAGTCTACAGTCTATAGTCGGTTTGTGAGAAGCTACATAGTTCTTGTATTTAACAGATGACAATATTAATGGTCCCTTGACAGTCGTGACATTAGGCGGTTGTAGAGCCAAAACAATGCCTATAGAGTCTATAGTCTATAATCGGTTTGTGAGAAGCTACATAGTTCTTGTATTTAACAGATGACAATATTAATGGTCCCTTGACAGTCGTGACATTAGGCGGTTGTAGAGCTAAAACAATGCCTATAGAGTCTATAGTCTATAGTCGGTTTGTGAGAAGCTACATAGTTCTTGTATTTAACAGATGACAATATTAATGGTCCCTTGACAGTCGTGACATTAGGCGGTTGTAGAGCCAAAACAATGCCTATAGAGTCTATAGTCTATAGTCGGTTTGTGAGAAGCTACATAGTTCTTGTATTTAACAGATGACAATATTAATGGTCCCTTGACAGTCGTGACATTAGGCGGTTGTAGAGCTAAAACAATGCCTATAGAGTCTATAGTCTATAGTCGGTTTGTGAGAAGCTACATAGTTCTTGTATTTAACAGATGACAATATTAATGGTCCCTTGACAGTCGTGACATTAGGCGGTTGTAGAGCTAAAACAATGCCTATAGAGTCTATAGTCTATAGTCGGTTTGTGAGAAGCTACATAGTTCTTGTATTTAACAGATGACAATATTAATGGTCCCTTGAAAGACGTGACATTAGACTGGCGTCGATTCCAAACATTTGACCGAATAAATTACTTCTTTAGTTTAATGTACCAACCAATAAGTAAATCAGAATTCAACAAATTCTGCTGGTAAATAATTTTACAAACGCAACAGTTTCACCAGATGAAATCCCTGTGTAAGGGTAGTCGTTTTGACATCTGACAATCCACTGGGGTGTTTTGGCTGAACTCAGTTCGATTCCAAACAATTACGTTGACAATCAAAAATACACGCCTCATCGAAACTTTTTACCTCTGTTTTATCTCTATACAATCGAGATTCAATTTTAAAATGCCCTATTGTACCTGGTTTATCGGATATGTTTAGTGGCTAACATATTTATTAATGGTGATTTTAATAAACCTCTTAAGTACGTACGCAAGATGAGATTTGAAGTTAAACAGCTAACTGTCGTTTTTAATAGGCAAAATCTATGCAAATAATTATTTAATTTGTATATTTGAAGATAAAACGCATTGAAAATCATTGACAAATAATCCAGCTGCTTTTCTCACTGACAGAAACGTAATCACTCGTTATTTCTTTCAATGCTGCAACATTATAAATTTGTATTGGTCCCTGCTGACTCAAATGTATGTTATAATTTCCATTATGCGTGTTATTGTTTCCACAGGTTGTAAAGTGATCAATATACCACGGGAGACAAATGATAACTTATTTATACCAAACAAGGTTTCACATAATTATATTCTTACTAGAAAAAGATCAATTAGAGTTTAAACTTCCATTTGGATAAAAGTTAAGAACAAAACTGCATGAAAACCCATGATATTAAAAAAGATATACCTGCTAACTACAGAAGTTGGACCAAACGCTAAGCCTTTTAACAATGTCAATAATTTTACAGTGTTAAAACAATTACAAAGAACATTTCTGCTAAACTCATTGAAACAAGGTGGATAAACCCCACATCTACTCCTACATGGAAGCTAAAGGTTGTTCAGTAGACAGAGAAAACCAGAGTGAAGCGAACAAAATTAAAAACTATAAAATCAAAATGAAAATAACTTAAGCTGAGGAATGCAATGTTTAAGTGAAAGTATAAAGTATAAAGTCTATAACTAAATAATTTTGTTGAAATCGATCTACGTTTTACAGAGTAACCTTTTTACCAGTATTTTCTCCGAGACACAATAACATCGTATAAATGTTCTGGTCTCAGCCAATTTCCGACAGCTTTACCAATTGAAACATCTGTCTTTACAGAATCCACCTTTGGCCTACCTATATTAGATTCGGGTTGAGAATTGAAACTACGAAAGTAATATAAAAGTTAAACTGTGACTATCGATGAACTCGATAAGTTATAATTACAAAGGTTATATTTTGAAATTTAAAACTGCTTTCTGATAAAACATTTCCTAGAACACAAATTTTATATTCCATGGACATTTTTCATTCCTGTAGTTTGTTTATTCAATTTGTCTTCATTTCGTACTTTCCAAGGGTTTATAAAGGAGGGACCAAAACAAATTTAATAATGTGGATTTTTGTGAAAAGTCAGAATTCATTAAGTGGATCCTAATCTGTTGTTTCGCTGTTTTATAATCCTCGGCTTTGCGACTTAAGTGGATAAATATGTAATCTTTCCGAGTCATATCTCTCGTGGAAAATGAGATAGAAAGTTAAACTTAAATATTACAGTAATATAATTTTCGAGCGAAATGATTATTGTTCTGTAAGATTACAGGTAAATGTGGCCTTATATGCTTGTTCTAAATGGTGCATCACAATAATAACATCAATGCTAATAGGAAAAATACTAAAATTTGTTCTACTGGATTAAAGTCATATAAATAAATTAATGTAGATTTATTATATATTAAGTTGCTGGTTTGTTTGTTAATTTTATATAATATAGTCAATTTTCCTATTACTGATAGATATTTTTACAGTGTTTAGAGAAGCTATAAACATTATCAAACTTTTATGTTTTATTTTTAATTATAAAATCTATATATACTATTTAAAGATAAGAGCACGAAAGTCCGACTTTCTGTTAAACATTTCACTATTTTATTATGATTATTTGTTTTTGAGGTTTAAGAAAATGGTTAAGTTAATATCGGTCAAGTTGGGAAAAAAGATACGTACCCCATAACCGACCCCATTAAAACCCCGTTTCCATCGTCTAATCATTCCGGTTCACTAACTCAACCAAAATAACGTAGGTTTTAAACCAAATTTCAACAGGATCAGATGATTTTTACAAGGGTTGTCTTGTTTACAGACACACATTTATATGAATTTGAGCAAATCGTGTTTTTGGTATCTGGAGACATCAAAATTAAAAAGTAAATAGGTCCCGGGTCTAAGTCTTACCATAAGACCTATGGTAATAGCTTATTTCACGTTTAGGAAATTCGGTAAGACATAATTTATTAATATATTAATAATTAATAATTGAAAGTATGTAAAACCATGTAAAAAGCCATTTGATTATACAACTTATAACTTATAAAACCCACTGATTCTCATTCTTTATTAAAATATAAGTTGTGGAGGATATTGTAAAAACCTGTTTTGAGATAAAACCCACATGGCTGGGAAAATGTTATCTTTGGGAATGAGTAAAATATGTTATCCAATATTTTGCAGAGACGTTTGAAAGCTGTATTTTAGTCGCATTACTTGGTTCAACACACGCAAAAACATTGGAACGTTGTAAATATAAACTTACTTATAAAAATATAAACGAATGAAAAAATATATATATTATAAAATTTATTCTGTAGAAAATATAAAGAGTTTTCTGACAGAAGTTGTTATTTTGAAGAATTATAAATACTAAACTTATTTGACAAAATGTTATAGATTGTGTGCAGTTAATCGAAACTGTAATTGAAGTTGACACAATAATTAATATTGAATAATCCATGAGTTAAAACGTATTCCCCCAAATATAATAATAATTTGCATGATAATTGTTTTCCTCATAATTAATTCAAAATCTTGAACAGCGCCGATATGGTTTTACATAACTTGCCTGTTTATTGAGTAATCAAACCATGTATAATTAAAACATGGTTAGCTGAGACCTTCGCTCATAAATTGTCACCACCATTACCATTTATTAATTAAATCCACAGCCTCCACAAAGTTGAGTAGATGGATAGACATAGCACCCACCTAACAATAAAAAGTTCACTGCTTCGAAATTGAACGATTTTAGTAGATTTTTGACGCTTCGAAAGATGGATCATATTTCCTCGATCATCGACCTTTTGGTAAATGATCCACATAAAGCCACAGTTCATCTCAGTCTGTAAGAAAATCCATATTGACCTCCCTCTTTATTCTATACTTACTTTTTATTTGTATTCAACATGTTATACAATGTATGCTCATTGATGTATAACACATCGATGAGTATGCTGCTCCATATAGTTAATTAATGACGTCATAAAAAAATTACATCTTTTTTTTTAAATAACGAGTTTTGTACTGTAGTGAACTATTAAAAAAAACCAAAATTTGTTGCACATTTGTCATGTTGGTAACATTTTTTATTTAATCATTATCGTAAGGAAATCGCATTTAGAGTAACTATAAACTATATGTTAGTTTTTTTTTTTCAACAGTTAAATGTTGTACGATTAGTAAAAGCCACAGGTTTTCACGAAAATTTTAGATGTTGAATCGTATATCTTCCTCAGGAGAGGAAGTGCCTCAAACATAACAAGTCTCTGCTAATGCTGGAAAATCACAAGACTGACTGAGTTCTCCCTAGAGCCATCACCTTGAGCAGACGTGCCTATTGTGTTCACCTTACCTCTGTTCGCACTAATTGAGGTTTTCCTTTAGGGTTTTTCCTGGTTTTCACAAAAAATACATTTCTCTGTATGGATTTGTTTTTTATTACTTCCCAGCTCTTTTAGTTTTATGTATCAATCTGGTCATAATTTAGGTACTTAGTCACCTTTCTTCAGATACCGTCGTGAACACTTGTCTATTTCCATAATTATAGAACATTTTACAGTAACAAACTGAAAAAAAACTAACTTCAGTTTTGTCAGGTAAAGATAAGATATAAGTGGTATTTTTTTACCAATCGTGATGGAAAATTCCTGTAATGACCGCTAAAATAAACGTACCACCACCGACATTTAAATGTGAACCAAACAATATTTTACCTTACTAAAAGAATCTTATAAAATATACATATATGTAAATATAAACAATAATAAGCTGGTTGAAATTACCTTCTTCTGCACAAGCTTGACGTCAAAAGTAATGACGTCAGAGATGGGCTCCCCAGCTCTTGTGACGTAATAGACCAACAGATGACTTACAGGAGCCATCACTGGCTGTACTGTAAAACTGGAACAAAACAACTCGTTTTAATAACGGTAAATATAGCAAAATTATAACAGTGTCTATGGGTAAAGTAAAAGAGTCTAGAAGGGTTTTATTTAATAAAAATACAATCGTTATTACTCTGTCAAATTATTTCAGCTTTAGCTACAGATGTCATAATCTAGGCTAGTGTGCTTCCGATGGTCTAAAGTTTGGTAAAGTACTAAAATTAGTGTTTGATGTAATTCAATGTAGAAACTATTAAAACATTATATTTTACCTTCGCACAAACAACCATTTATTTCTGAGTAAATGATGAAAATATGTTAAAACTACCAATGGAGGTTTATTATTAGCCATGACAAGATGAAGCAAAGTAACGATCAGTTGCTAGGTAGACATTTGCTAATGCTCTTGTATAGAAGATATTGAAGCTATGTGATAACATGCCTGTCTTTGTTTGGTTGGCGGGAATTTCATAACGCCAAGTCAATATGTTGTCATAGGTACGTCAGTAGAATGGGTTTGCAATGAGGCTATGAGGTAGTGGTAGACTGGGTTGCAATGTGTCTATGAGACAGCGGTAGACTGGGTTTGCAATGAGGCTATGAGGTAGTGCTAGACTGGGTTTGCATTGAGGCTATGAGATAGTGGTGGACTGGGTTTGTAATGAGGTTATGGGGCAACGGTAGACTGGGTTTGCATTGAGGCTATGAGACAGTGGTAGACTGGGTTTGCAATGAGGCTATGAGACAGTGGTAGACTGGGTTTGCAATGAGGCTATGAGATAGTGGTGGACTGGGTTTGTAATGAGGCTATGAGGTAGTGCTAGACTGGGTTTGCAATGAGGCTATGAGATAGTGCTAGACTGGGTTTGCAATGAGGCTATGAGGTAGTGCTAGACTGGGTTTGCAATGAGGCTATGAGATAGTGGTGGACTGGGTTTGTAATGAGGTTATGGGGCAACGGTAGACTGGGTTTGCAATGAGGGTATGAGGCAGTGGTAGACTGGTTGTGCAATGAGGCTATGAGTCAGCTGTAGATTGGGTTTGCAATGAGGCTATGAGGCAGCGGTAGACTGGGTTTGCAATGAGGCTATGAGGCAGTGAGACTCAACGATGCATTGTGCCTCGCGAGGCATATTGCTTGTTGGAATTTTAAACATGCAATCTTGACTTGTATACGCTTATATGAGAAGTAGATGGTTTAAACGTACTTCTACTTATACTGATTGAATTATATTTGAAAGGTAGTATTATTAATTTTATTGTTTATATTATTTGATGTTTACTTAGCGAATGAACGTGTCGACATTATTTTATTCGGAGACTAAATAATGATGTTAAACGTTAAATCAAATTCATTTCAGTAAAGAATTAAAGTAAAAATTTTTAAGTCAGATTTTACATAATTGCCAACTAAAATATTTGAAGTTAATAATTAAAGAAAACCCCCTTATCCACCATATATGTAGGATTATTATTTAACCAATTAATTTGTATACAGTTTCTATTGCATTTTTCATGTAACAAGGTTTTATGGGCACTGTTGTGATTTTTTTGATGTACATTATCTTAGTTTCTTATAGATAGTATTACCTGATATAAAATAATGGTAAATATTCAATTTTATTGATGTTTGGACTTTTTAGAACTGGAAAATAAATAGGGCACATTAAGAAAAAATGTTGATATAAAAATTAATAACTTTTAAATTTAAAAGCTTAGTAAGAAATACATTTTCATTATTATACTCCTTCACATTTTATTTGTAAAATCAATCATAAACTCCAAGTCCAAAAATAATAGAAAAAAATATTCGTTCGGAAACCTTCCTCTATAAAAATGGATAAGTGATGAAATTAAATTTACTCATATTATTAGTATTAATTACAATTCAACTAACGATTTTATGCAAGGTGAATAAGATAAACACAGTTTTGAGTTAAATACTTAACCGAGGGTTGTGGTAAACAGCTGTTAACCAACACACGTGTTTCCTGTAATTAGCAGCAAGATAAGATTTCCAGACCTGAGTGACTCAACTACAATTTGTGAAAAAATCTTTAACCAGCTGCACTCCATCACATCACATTTGCACACATTTTGCTGGAGTATAAACTAGATATACTTATAGCACATAGTGCTGTTAATGGTGTTCCATTTATTCACGATACTCTCAACAGTTTTTATATGAAGTATGAAACGTCGAGTTTAACGACTCCCTAACTGTAGTCGGTTTCATATTGCAGGAGATGAAACATAAAAAGCTGCAGAAACAAGAAACAGTCCTGAATAAATAACCAGGCCAACGAAACAACTCCGCTTTTACAAGGAACTTTAACTTTATAATGAGTTTACAAGATTTTACTGATGTCATCTGTTTTAGAATTTTGAAAACGTTGAATGATATATGCGGTTAGTATTTGTTTGGCTATATGTAGTAATTTCAGTGGTTAGATCAGGATAAATAGCTTTCTGAGTAAAAATGTATGGGTATAAGAACCTGATTGTTAAACTTTACAATCTTGTTTTGTGTTCTCTTGTGACCAATAAACATACGTAAATCTTTTTTGTTACAGCAAATATATAAAGTGTGTATAAAACGTTGTATACTTCGTAATTTGTGGCAGTTAAAAGTTTATTATTTGATAATATTATTTCCTTGTTTTGTTACCGATTCAATTTCGAATTAAGTTTTCAAGACAATATTCATATGTTGTAGGAACGCAAAACGACCTTCATATGTGTTAGGAACTCAATATAAACAAAGTGCATCTGCATATTTAGCATAACGTAAATAATCTAGGTGGTTTGCATCTATCGTTCATCTTTAACCTTAACGTTTTATTTTGATAGTTTTTAGAAGATTAAAGCGACGTCCTACGGACTGATTATGTTAAAATCCTCGGCTATGTGCGATTATGACACAAACGTGTTGTAACCATGGTAACCACAAGATTTAGACGATTGAAGGCGAACGAAGTATGTTTACCACTTTTAATTTACCCAATCCTGTTGAAAAATAACACGGATATATGTCCTTTAGTAATAAGCCCATCGATAACTTTACCAAAGGCTAACGTAAAAGCCTCCTATTGGAGTATTAATAATGATATAATTATTATGTATATAATTACTATAACATTTTCCATTGATCCTCGTCAGAGTTGTGACGTAAAGGTGATACTATTTACATTTTTACCGTAAAGAGTACAACAATTACAACTACCACAATCACAATTACCACGATATCATCAAATATCATCTGTTCGCTCGTTTTAAATAATTAACTAGCAAAAATTAAAAAAAGGTGTTGGCAAGGGAATAGTAAATTATCTTTTGGTACCCATGAAAATAAATAAAATAATTTATATCGGCTTAAAATTGTAGCAATAAAATATAAGGTAGGGAAACAGAGCTCAGATCCCTAAGGGATTACAGAATCAGGAATTAGAGAAACCCCTTTCAGGGAATATTATCTTGTAGCTTAATGGGGATCGGATGGATGGTTTGGTTGTGCATTCGGATCTACAAAAAGTTGTATAGAAGAATGTGAGAGAATATATACTAGCAATACCATATTTCGTTTAATTAATAATCAAAGAGTTAAATTTTGCTGAAGATCAAATGTACAATGTGATGTACAAGATTTTATCCTCAAAAGTTTATATTTTTAATCGATAAAATTTTGAAAATACCTCTGCGCTCAAAATTTTATTGCAATCAGGACCAATATTTACTCATATTACATCAATTAAATATTTTAATTGTAAACATATATTAATATGTTTTGTACCTTACTAGCTTTGAAAGCTGTTGTATTTTCTTTTGTGTTACTGTAGTGAAGTGGATACCTACAATTTGGTAAGCCTACGTATCCTGTCCTTCATCTCCTTAATTCTCAGGCAATAAGCCCTTTCCAATCAACCCAAAGAATTAATTTGCTAAAGTGCTATGTATAGGAGTCTGGAGAGTAGAATGTAAAGCCTTACCTAAAGTTCATCCTACAGATGGCAGCACCGTCCACTGCCACGGAGGGTGGATTCTGGTCCTCAGTGCTTGCCTCTGATTGGCTCCAGTAGGTCACGTGACCTTCTGTCGTGATGACGTAATGAAGGTCATGATCACAAGGACACGAAGACAAGATGGTTGCTTTGGCCACATCGCTTGGCTGTTGAAAAAATAATACTTACACTATACGATAGCATAAAGATTCTGTAATCCAAGTGAGGTAGGTGAGATGTTAAATAGACTGTAGAAGGATTCCTCAGTAAGGTTATTTGATAATTTGATGGTTTCTTGAAGTTTCATCGTAAGAAGTATTTTTAGAAGGTGTGTAGTTCCTTTGAATTTATAGACAACACATTTCTTCATTAAATATGAAGCCAGTTTAGAATTAAAAATATCAAACTAGTTGAATTTAACCTCTGACAAGTTTGCTGCATTTGATTATTCGTTTCTGTTGTATAAAGCATTTTTAACCAATCAAAGCTAGAATGTCAACTTACTATGAACTATAGTATCGTTTATTGTATTAACAATTATAGTATTTAAATGTGGAAGAGTAACTGGTGTTAAGTACTCTGTAAGTTGCTCATTTATCTATGTATTTTTTATTAAAGATTAGCTACAGCTGGCTCATATGAAACAGATGTCTAACCCTGGTATTACTAAGTCTAGGAGACTCAGAACCATATGTACTTTCCTTATCTATTATTTTCCAAGAGTTATATTAAGGAGATTTGTCGAAGTTCAATTGTAATATTACATTCAAGCAAACTTTTACACGTATAGTTTATTAATATTTGATATCCAAACAAACCTTCATAAACTAGCTTCTCAGTCATTGTTTTCACATGAAAAATGTACTACTTTTAAAATTGACGAATATAAACAAATATTTTATTCTTTGATAGCAATATAATATTTGAAACATATTTAGAGTACTCTCATTTCAGTAACCGAGTCCATTAAGTGGAAAGCTTTTTCAACGGCACATTTAATTTACATAAAAGCATGGAATAATTCATGTTAAAGTGTGTGTTATAAATTCGTATTGGTTTTATGGGTTGAACTGATTTAATTTGGAGTAATATGCTATCGATCCAGCAGACGCACTTGTATGTAATAAATAATTTAGAATCGAAGTTTCAATGGTTTGTAATAAAATGCTGCTATCAATACATTTTAAAAATAAGTCTGGTAGGTACATTATTTACAGTATTGACTGGTTATTAAATTATTACCATAGGTACATTATTTCAAATACAATTTTGTTGAAACTGAAAAGGGTTTGTTGTGGCTCCATTTTCATACAGTAAGTAAACTAACAACACTCAATTGCTTTGTATAAATAAACTATCAGCTAAAGCTTCATTTAAAATTAACGATATATTTGTCCAGTTTATATTTTCCAATGTGAGGCTACCTGTAGATACTTCAGCTAGAAAGACGTGTTGGTGAGATATTTGGGGGGATCTACTTTATATATTAACTCGAGTGAACCGAGGTGTCTGTTTGGGGCCTAGCAATCTTTTTGGACCTTGACAAATATCATAAACGATAAAGAATGGAAACCCACGTTAACGACTCATTCCGTAAATTATTGGCCGTAATCAAGAAGTGTTTGGTTAAATTTATGATAAAACATTATACGATTGCCACAGTTGTCATTCACTTCAATAGGGCCTATTTTGAACAAAGACAACACATGATCTGGAACCTATCAAGACAACAGCATACGTTGCTTAGAAACTGCTTATAAACTACTTTTATTATTTAGACAACAGTACCTCTAAAGTTCTCTCCATGCCCTCAATAAGTAGATAGCAGGACGATGAAGAATTCCATTTGAGGATCGGTTCCTTAGCCAAGACATAGTGGTTGTCAGTGTCCTTTCCCGCAACTGATACTAGCTCGGCCTATAATTAGAAAGACGTGTTAGAGTACCATAAGCTAATTATAGCACACAGTTGAAACAAAGTAAGGCACAATACTTAAGATAAAAGTAAAGATTCAGTAAGGTTCAGCACGTGAACTTATTCACTGATACAACTTATTCTCGTTAGTCTAAGCTGGATCAATGGAGTGGAAACCAAGTAACTCTATCTTCACCCTTCGTCATCCTTAAAGAATTTAACGGGGTTTTCTCCAAATTATAATGTTTCACAAACACTTATCTCATCGATCATGTATTAAATAAAGTTCGGACAATTTTCAATCGTGATGAAAAAGAAGGTAATTTTCCATGGCTATTCCATTATAAAACTATATTCCTCTATCAACAAGGGATTTCGTATATCAAACTTAAAAATTCACGATTGTTGATATTGCATAAAAAAAGAATCTAAAATTTGAACTAGTGTAACATTTATATTTTATTTTTTTTATTTTTGTGATCCCTTTGCGGTCGAATTCGGTTCGGAGAGTATAGGTCGCCGGGTGCTATTTTCCCGACTATTCAAATGACAAACTATGCTCGCCAAAAAATAAAAAAAGTCTACCACAAAGGATTAATTAAGTTCATAGTATCTGAATATATTTCTAATATAGAACTATTTCGTAAAATATTAGTTAAAGAATCTACTGTTTTCTTTGGAACTTCTATTTCACTGCTCCTGTATTCTTAACAAACTTCAACATTTTTAATGTAATCTTTTGTTTAATAAGAAGCTTATTAACCATAAAAATTTTATATTATTCTATATAATATGAGTAAAGTTTGTATATTTGTTACTTCGATCTTCAATACAGCGCAAAACATCATTGCCCTAACATTGACATAACCTTTATACTTACGATACAACTATGGTATTACCTACTATTTTAACAGATTACAATTGGACGGTAAAATAAGTTATGGATTAATGACAATGGCCAAACACAGCTCTCAGAGTATACTAATAATTTCCCCTGAGCAAAGCTTGGTCCCCAGTTACTTACTTGTAAAGTTATGACGTCACTGTCTGACAAGATGGCGGGAACTACAAACGCTCCTTCTCCCAAAGCCATCTCTATATCTTGGCTGTAAATCGCAGTCTGGTTGTCCAAGACTTTGACCCGGACACGAACTGCCTTCTCGGAGCTGACAGCTTCTACCTGTAAGTATATTTATCGCTAATGAACAAGTCTTAAGCTCTAGTTTGGAAGAACCAACCAAGTAACGTAATATTCAGTCATTGTAATTGTCTTCTATAAGATTTTACTTAAAGTTTAAAATTTGAGGTTAAACACTGCTTTAAGACATAGATGGAAATATATCAATGTAACTGAAGTTTTTGAAAAATAAGTTAAAAATTAGGTAAAATAGGGCACTGAACGTATATTTTCTTAGAAGGAACTTAATTCAAATGTATCCAGTGTATTTTTCCTAGTGTTTCAAAAGGTATATGATAAGCCGAAGGAATGTTCAAATCGTGTAGTTTTAAACGATTGTCTAGTAGTTTTGACTGTAACAATAATTTGAACATTATATTACCTTTCCAACAAAAGGCAGACCAGGCTTGTATCTCCTTCGCATTTCAGAGGCGAACCTCAACTCAACAAAGTGTTCTTCGGCGATGACAAGGTCGGGTGTGAGAGGATCCTGACTGCCTCGAGACAGGGATACGTTCAGGGAGTAAGTAAACACAGAGTCTTCCACCTCAACCCCCAGCGTCCAGGGACCTGGAGTCGCAGTGGAGGAGAGTGTCACGAAGAACTTCTGGACACCTGGAATGAAGAAAAGCAATAGAAGCAGCTTGAACAACCGTTGTATTTAGATTTTGCTGATGTTGTAACTAAAGGATGGCTGTTTTGTCTTCAAAAGAGTTAAATCTGTGACAAGAATTAGGTTATCTCGATATAAGTGAAAAATTCTAAATGATGTATGCGTTAATCTTTTTGTATTTAGAAAACTCATCTTGCATCTTTCAAGAATATGTTAAATTTAATCAATGGCATGGAGTAAGAGAACCCACTGTCATTTGTGAATAATCTCTATTTTTTTTAAAACTAGGTTTGTGTTTCGAAATTTTATCGAATGTCAGTTCATAGAGCCCAAGAAAATTAACTTGGTTAAATGAATGACCTATTAATTTAATCTTTGGTCCATGCAAAACAAGTGATACAAAAAGAATCAGGAAAGTCATGTCACAAGTAAAAGTTTTTGACACATTGAGTTGATTTATATGAAGCGACAATGTGGTTAAACATTTTCGAATCAGTCCATTAATTGATTCAAATTGTACATGTGAGTTTAAATTTATCACAAAGAATCTTAGCTGTTCAAAACACGAAGAACCATATTTTTCCACTGAACTTCTTTATCTTCTTGAAAAATCTCAGTGGAGGACATGACACAAAAGGGTCCTAGTTGTATGTATGTTGGTAAATTACAGGACACTTCGAGAAATGAGTTTTGTACCTTCATCAAGGACAAAAAACAACAATCTTCTAGAAAAGAACTTTGTACCTTGATCGAGCGAAATCTCCTCCCAAACTGCCACCTTGGTGCCTTGAGGATCCGCCATGAAAACCTTTCCTCTGGAGTCTGTAGTGAGGGAAAGGTCGTGATCGACTGCTAGGATCCAAAACTCCACTGGAATACACAAACAATTATTTTCTGTATTTTAGCGTTCAAGACCATAAGTTTAGGACCATAAGTGATTCAACCCGCAATAACATATGCATTTCCAAAAGTGTTTATCTGATTTTAAAATCTCGTGTAATACGTTTTTTTTTTCAATAACATTAGAAAGTCTCTGGTTCATTGTAAATATGATTGATTGCGGACCTAGATACAAGTTGCTATTGAGTCGTTAGTTAATTAACGCTGATATCACAATAAAATTCAATTTTAGATGGTAAAAAGTGACCAGAGTTTATTCCGTTTCCTTAACAAATTAACTATACGCAAATATTTAAATCAATACAATGCGATACAAGTTTATAGGAAGTATCTTCTACTCAAGTAGGTGATTCATCTCTATTTAACAGACCTTTTCTTCTTGAGTCATTCTAAGGCAATCCCAATCAAGAGAGATTTAACGTTCTAACTTCATCTCCCTCCAGACTTACTTTCAAACTCCGTCTTGGCTCAATATATTACTCTTCACGGATGATTTATATAGAGTTCAGGGTGAAATGGTTCTAGGCCTATATTTTATTGGCGTGTATCAAATATATATATATATATATTTATATAAAATTATATAAAGTTATATAATAAATATCGTCGATGTAACATATCAAATGTTTATGATACTTAAAAATATAATTATTTATATGCTCATATATTATTTTTCTCAAATAATATTTTTCAAGGATTTCGGTTTGTTTGAAGACTTTAAATTTTAACGGCTGTCAATTTCAAGGTAGTGTGAAACTTATAAAATGACTAATAATATTAAACTTTTGAGGTAAATAAAAACAAAAATTAACCATCTTACTTTTACTTTTTACACAATTCAACTCATTGCGAAGTTATTTCTCGCTTTTGGTAGTGCATTATAACTTTTGTATGCAATACAGTTTCGTATATTGGTGCTAGTGTACAAATTTAATAAAATTATTGTTCACCAGTTGTTTGTATATCTGGTTTAAACGTTTACACGACCATAAATAAATATAAAGCATGTAACTACAACCATCCTGTAAGATTTACATTAAATGTGAATGTATAGTTAAGTGTTGCAATACTTATTTTATTTTATTTGTATGATATATTTTATTGCTATCGGAATACCCTTCTTAAGTCTACAGATCTTTAAGAGCAATTATGATAAAATTTAAAATAATGTATTAAAGATCAATACAAATTAACATATAAATTTACTAAAACACATTAAAACTAAACGATCATAGGTTTTCAATATTTTATTTATTGGGACGTAATTGTATTGAACATTTGGCTTACATGGTTCAGTAAAACACAAATGCAAAATACAAACAGTGGATTCGACGGGGGCTATCCATCATATCCAGGCGTTATTCAATTTGACTGCCAGGCAGGTAATAGCAAAAACTGTCAATCGATAACTCCTCGTCTATTGTGACAAACATTTTACCACAATTCTGCTGTCCCCGTTTTGTGTCTGACAGTTTTCAGCCCTAACGTTGTTTGTTTTGAGCTTTTGGTTCAATTATAATAAAAAAAGCAACTTATATTTTAATATGTACATTTTGTACACAAATAGTGATACAATTAGTGTTAAGAATTATTTTTTTATGGTTATTTGTTGTACAATTTGATTTCCCCCTAGAGATAGGTAAAGTGAATATTAACTTGGGTCAAAATTGGGCCATGGTCGTTAAAACTCACATTAATGTAGTCAGATTTTACTTAAAATAATACATGAATAGCTAAGAATAAATGTGTTAATTCAAAATTTTCTTCATAGTATACTAAATAGGAGCTATCTAAAAAAAATTCTGTTACCAAAGAATCGTAAAAAATATAAATTAAAAATGAATAACATATTGTCGCTATGGCTAAAACTATGATGATTGCGACAAATACAAGTTTAGGTCAAAAGCCACATGCAATTTAACAAACAAGAACCCCCCAATATAACGTGGCTTAAAAGGATACGAAAATGATAAGACAGACAACAACAAATAGCTGGGTTGACCAACCCCTGTGGCTGGCCAGTCTTTCTAAAGTGCTACTATTTGTCTGGTGCCTTTTCATCCCCTGACAAAAGACACTCTCCTTCTCTCCGATATCGATTGAATAATATGTTTATTGTTTGGTTTTCTTTATACATTCAGGATGCGAGGCTTTAAAAGTTGATGGCTATTTGTTGCTAGAAATTATTTAGTTTCTGGTGGTAGTTCCTTGCAATCCTAAAAAAATACTGAAGCTTACTCCTTACTTAGTGCTCCTTTTACCCCCCCCCCCCCACTTACTGAGTAACTACTCCTTACTTACAGTAGTACTGGTCCCTTACCTAGTTACTTTACATGGAAAATTATGTTGTCTTTCAACCTATGTAGCAAATTCCACAAGTCTTAAAGTTTAGTGATTAAGGCTCCCTTAAAGTACTTACATTATGCAATGACTCGGAGCGTTTTAGTTTAGTTTGTTGAATTAGTTTTCATTTTCATCCATTGAACTTAAGGGGGAAATTTTTAATATTTTCAAAAGACTTTTATAAAGAATAATGTATTTAAAATATTTTGTTACATTTTTTGTACGTGTGTTTAAATAATACAAACTAAACTAATAGTAGTTTTAATATATAGCTCTTTCTCGCCGAGTAGCTAAATATATTGAATGAAATATTGAAACATAAATTAATCACCAAACTGGAAACTTTTAACTATCAAGCTAATTTTTATGTTTTCAGGCTAAACAATTATTAGAAGGCGTTAAAAAATATATACAACGAACAAAAACAGTAGGCCTAAAGTAAACTATAAACTATTTACGCTGATCGGATTTGGATGCCTTCAATTCGTCTCAAAAAAAAAAAAATAAATAAAAAAAAATGGAAACTGACACAGCAAAGAAAGCAGTTAATTTCAAATGTCGATGAGAGAAAATTAATGACTGTTTTTATAAAATTACTTTAACGCATTACCATTAGTTTTGAGTGGTTGACGTTATAAACGCCTTTTTACCATAAATCTTCAAGGAGTAATTACATCAATTTTGCAGAATGTCATCCATTTTACCTTTACAGCTTCTACCATTATAAAAACCTTTTTATGTGGCTACGTCATTATATTATTATTAAAACTGATTTAATTCATCATGATAATTGTAAATACCTCTACATGTATACATTTATTTGTCCCCAATTACATTATTTACATAAAAATATACTTTTTGTTAGTTTTTTCTAGAATATTTTGCTTGTCTTAAATTTTCATATTAAATTCTAGTCCTGGTAACTAAAACACTATTTATGTTTTGTTTTATTACCTCTTTCATGCAGCACTATTTCCGTCGGGTGAAATCCATTTAGCGTTCCACTGCTCAGTTTTTTTACATGGGATGAAATGGAGTATTGCCAAAAGTTAAAAGAAAGGTAATAGGTTATTTTTACAAAGATAAAAAAGTATAGCCACGAACGACTGTGTTATTTCAAAACTCAGCTGTTCTTCAAAATGTAAGATTTTTGTTACACAGTATTATTTATCGTGGAAGAAACAACCACCAAATTCAAGCCAGGTGTTAGCGTTATGGATTATTACTAAGGATTTTGCTGCAACTTCAGTTGGTGAATTTATGAACGTTTGATCAAATGTAAGGGAAATAATTTTGAAGAGTATAGAAAAGAATCGAGTAAATATGTTTGCCATAGTTTTATAGTAGAAATCTGTACAAAAAAAATATAGTAAGACGAATCGTACAAAGAAAATTGTAACAATCGTTGTAGAGAGGGGGAGTTTGTAATTTGAGGTCTCAGTTTTATGTCCGGCCAATAAGCTTTAAGTTATGTGAATATGCCAAGACCCTCAAATATATTCCTAAATAAAGTGTGTAACTATTTCCTGCAGTGTCTATAGTCGTTGGAAGAATAAGTGGGACATTGCAAAAGGTGAGCACCCACTATAAAAGAAGGACAACAGTTTCTTATTATCTTTGACACAACTAGATTACGTTTATAAGTTTAACTAACAATATCTTCTTACCAGTCTCTCCAGGCTTGTAGAACTTGCTCATCGGTCGGACGATGACGTCTCTGACGACCCCGACGACCTTGATGACTGATGAGGTGGTGACCTCTTCTGACCCCTCGACCGACGCTTGGAGGACGACTTGACCTGTCACGTCCTTGGGAATCATCAGAGGAATGACCCCGTGGTCTGGAAAACCAAGAGTGTTTGTTCATAACACGAAAACGTATTCAACAAAAGTACTCATTGGAAAATATTTTTCTGTAGTTATGAATAGCCTTTGGACTTTTTTGTTGACTTAAAACGTATCTGATCTTGTATACTATATCTAATTTTGATCTTTTTTTGGATTTTTCAAAAAAAAAAGAGTTAATTATATATTTTCTACTGTATCGTATTTTCAATGTATCGTAAGAGTTCTGTTAATTAAAGGTGTAAAATAATTTGAGAAAAATACGTAATTATTGGGAGGAAAGTTAATTCATTCGTAAACTTAGATTTGAAAGATTTTCTTCACAATTTCATACAAGTTTAGCGTCTTGTACTAATGCAATAACGTAGCCATATATTGAGGAGGTGTCTTCTAGCCTATACCACCCCTTACATCCCTAAACCACTGAAGAACAGGATCGCTGTGATGAAAGTGGCCCAAATTGACAATAACGGAAACATCACTTAGGTGGGTTGAACTCAGTTACACATAAGCGATGCCCCGCAAGAATCTAATCAAACAGTTTTAAGAACCGATCAAGTGGAAATGTCTTAAACATCTCTGAATTTTTCCATGGTTAAACATATTTCATTTACTTGTACATATAAAGTTGTATCAACCATTTGAAATAGTATTCATTCAAAATTCTTTAATCAAGTTTTAAGCGAAATAAATGCCCTTTAATTACACTGTTTAACGAACAAAGAGCCTTACATTACTGCATTACATTTAAGTAATTTAAAAACTATATTTTAAGCAAGTCATAAACTTATTTAGTTTTCATAAGTAAAGATTAAAAGAAAGGTCCCAGAAAACGGACCTGTGAGGTTAATTGACCATCACTATATTATTTGTGTGTAACAATACATAATTGAAGTTTTAAGTTATGTCTTAATTCTTACTTTCCCTAACCTATCCTAAGCCAACCTAAAATGACCTAATTTTAGAGAAACTATTGAACTATTTTAGAGAACTATTGAACTTCAAATTACCAGGCCTGATTTAACAATATGTATGGCTACCTAAAAGTGCAGCAGATTGCTCACATAATAGAGTATAGTGTTTAGAAGCGATTGGATCATTGGATTTTGCTTATCGTTTATCTTGTGATCGTTAAGATTTTTAACTAATACTTTCCATCTGGTATCAGATAGTTATGTAAAATTTATTTCAACAAAATTCACCATTCCTGTTGATGATCATTTCCTATATCCGTTTGAGATCCATGTTAAAGTTACCCTTGCGTTATACTAAACACAAAATATTAGAGATAGCAATTAAATATTTAAATACATCTTACTAACCTTGAATGTACACATTGGTCTGGACTAGAGGACGGTTGTTGGGTACTCCAGTGTCCGGAAAGAGTCTAAGAGACACATTAGCAGCGTCCCTCAACCGGGCATCCAACTGTTTGATAGTGATCAGCACAGGGGTGGGTCGTGCTGGTGCAGCTACTTCTGGAGCTACCACCGTCAGCCTCCTGGAACATAACATGTCAGGGGTCAGGAGAAGTGGGACACTAGAGAATATGCGCGTTTGGAGACTACACTTTAGACATTGGAAATCAGCCCAGGGGTGGTTCGCGCTTGGGCTGCTACTTCTGGAGCTACCACCGTCAGCCTCCTGGAACATAACATGTCAGGGGTTAGGAGAAGTGGGACACTAGAGAATATGAGCACGTGGAGGCTACACTTTACACATTGGAAATCAGCACAGGGGTGGGTCGTGCTTGGGCTGCTACTTCTGGAGCTACCACCGTCAGCCTCCTGGAACATAACATGTCAGGGGTCAGGAGAAGTGGGACACTAGAGAATATGCGCGTTTGGAGACTACACTTTAGACATTGGAAATCAGCCCAGGGGTGGTTCGTGCTTGGGCTGCTACTTCTAGAGCTACCACCGTCAGCCTCCTGGAACATAACATGTCAGGGGTTAGGAGAAGTGGGACACTAGAGAATATGAGCACGTGGAGGCTACACTTTACACATTGGAAATCAGCACAGGGGTGGGTCGTGCTTGGGCTGCTACTTCTGGAGCTACCACAGTCAGCCTCCTGGAACATAACATGTCAGGGGTCAGGAGAAGTGGGACACTAGAGAATATGCGCGTTTGGAGACTACACTTTAGACATTGGAAATCAGCCCAGGGGTGGTTCGTGCTTGGGCTGCTACTTCTAGAGCTACCGCCGTCAGCCTCCTGGAACATAACATGTCAGGGGTTAGGAGAAGTGGGACACTAGAGAATATGAGCACGTGGAGGCTACACTTTACACATTGGAAATCAGCACAGGGGTGGGTCGTGCTTGGGCTGCTACTTCTGGAGCTACCACAGTCAGCCTCCTGGAACATAACATGTCAGGGGTCAGGAGAAGTGGGACACTAGAGAATATGCGCGTTTGGAGACTACACTTTAGACATTGGAAATCAGCCCAGGGGTGGTTCGTGCTTGGGCTGCTACTTCTAGAGCTACCACCGTCAGCCTCCTGGAACATAACATGTCAGGGGTTAGGAGAAGTGGGACACTAGAGAATATGAGCACGTGGAGGCTACACTTTACACATTGGAAATCAGCACAGGGGTGGGTCGTGCTTGGGCTGCTACTTCTGGAGCTACCACAGTCAGCCTCCTGGAACATAACATGTCAGGGGTCAGGAGAAGTGGGAATCTGGAGAATACGAGCACTTGGAGGCTACACTTTAGATATTGGAAATCAGCACAGGGGTTGGTCGTGCTGGTGCTGCTACTTCTGGAGCTACAACCGTCAGCCTCCTTGAACATAAAATGTCAGGTGTCAGGAGAAGTGGGAAACTAGAGAATATGAGCATGTGGAGGCTACACTTTAGACATTGGAAATCAGCACAGGGGTGGGTCGTGGCGGAGCAGCTACTTCTGGAACTACCACCGTCAGCCGCCTGGAAAATAACATGTCAGGGGTAGGGATAATGTGAAACTATAGAATCTGAGCATGTGAAGGCTACACTTTAGAAATTGGAAATCAGAGATAGCCTTTAATCTTTTAACGGAGGTGACAATATTTTATCTAAAAAAATCCTTTATTATGTAAATGCATGAGTTGAAACTGTTTACATGCATAACATAAGGTACTGATAGAACCTCCCAAGATTGTATCCGATGCGAACCTGGTATTAGGAAGATAGAAGAGTCTATTTCCAGGTGGTGCAGAAAACCATGTTAAAGCGTATTGCCATGCCAAGTACATATATTTATCCCAATGATGGAAAGAACAGTCACTAAATTGGACATCTTCTCAAAGCAAAAAGGCCGTACTGTAAATAACTTGACTAAAAATGAAGTAGTAGTACTGTGTAGCTCATCGTTAGTTGTTTACAATAATATATAGTATATATCTAGTTTTGGTTTCAATAAACTACATAAAACGTTCAAAATCGAAAATCTACCTGCTAGTTTTTTTCGTTTACAAATCTACTTTGTTCTTTGTAACTATAGCTAAATATAGTTTTTGCGCTTATTTTAAATAAATATAGTCAGAAAAATTTCATTTAAATAACATCTTAAGTGCCTTCAAATTGTATTACATCAGTTTTAAGTCCTCTCTTTTGCTCCGCCTTTATACTGTGAGAACTTTATGACATTAACTTTGAATTTAATAGTTATATGTTACAAAGGCTAAATGTTTTAACAAATCAATTAACTTATCAGCTCTTACAAATTGAGTGGTATTCCTGCAAAGTTTCAATTATCTACTAAATTATTAGACTGGAAAAGAGTTATATTACTTTTCCATAACATTTACATTATACACTTGATTTATATATATTGTTTGACAGAGAAGTGCAAAAAAAGTTAAACAAGTTTTCTTTTTTGATAAAAAAAGGTTATGTTAAAACAAATTTTAAAATTATATTATACTATAATTGATAAGATATGTTTTTCATAATAATTTATTGTGATTGATAATGTTCAAAATAATTTCTCAGACAACTTCGAAAGAGCGCACTGAATGAACCTACTTATAACGGTAATGAAAGTCAAGCAATTTCCATCATTACCACAATGTTATTTTTATGTTTCCCACCTCAAATCACCTTACAGCTAGAATATAACAACGAAGAAAAGTAAACACTGGTTATTATAACTGAATATCTATTTAATTATGCTTGATTATTTAGAGTTTTAAACTTTATAATGTTATACCAAAATGAAACTTAATACTGCGCTGGGTAGTATACTAATGTTTGTAAATTATTATCGATGTGTATTGAAAAATGTTCGTTCTATCAAGCTTTGCTCATATAAGTATTGCACCAAAGTCTATTCCCACAACGTCTTGTTTAATGTTGCACTTACACTAATCAACTCCGATGTCCAATCACTTATGTTTCTTTCCCATGAAGTTTAAACAATCAACTCCCAAAGTTAATTGAAAGTAATCAATGGAACTCCAAATGCCAGTTACTGCGTAATCAAGTCACGTCTTTTAGAGACAGCTAAGCCTCGCAATCTACTTTCGATAGAAGAAAGTAATGTGTTACATAATTGGAAAATGTTACAGTTTGTGTGTTAAACAAAGGTATTGTAAGAAATCACTATGGAAAATAAGTAACATTGTGTGGTAATTATGTAGAATATAAGTTTCACGTAATTTTATTTTGGTTACACAATTTTATGGTTTTAAATAATATTGAACCTTTTATCCATGCTAAAATAATAAAAAAATAGGCATCATGAAAAAACCAATCATGATATACATGTTAAGTATGACTATTTTCCTTATTGCGGTTGGTAGACTCACAAACAAAATTAAATCTGAATTTTGTAAGGCCGAGTGTAGTAATTATTTATTTTAGATGCCACAAAACAGAATACGAATCCCATTTTCATTGCAGAACTTTAGCAATTTATACACAAATAATAAATTTATGAAATTAAATATAAAGTGTTACGCTTAAATTAACTATAAAATGTAATGATTGTTATACAGTGTGTTACGTTCATAGACTACGAATAATAATAGTTATTATTACCTAATAATAACGATAAATAATAGTACCAATAAATAAGAGTGATTAAGAATAACTAAAATAAATAAGCAAAGAAGCAAGGTATGAAAAATACTATTGCTGACGAAGGAGAGGGAAATAAATAACGTTAACTATTTTGCGAGACTAATGAATTTCGTATGAAGGTGTCGACTCTTTCAATGAGATTAAGTGATCTAGTCTTATAGGTTTAATACCAAATCTTGTTTTATAGACATAGTTATTTTTATATTGGTCATGGAGACAAGAAAGCCTATGACGTAAATCTCTCAACGATTAATTGTTAACCATAAGAATGATTACCAGTGAATTCCCATGTTACTTAACTTATTTGAGACTTGTACTACTTGATATACAGTGTTGCGCCTCATCAAATCTGTAAAAATTAGGAAAAGTACACTTAATACATGGAGTATTACATCTATTAATAATGTAGTCTAATCGGAAATGAATAACTTCTTTATAAAAGTTGGACATGTGAGCAAAGGTCCAAAAGTTGTTTATCAACTGCAGATATAAGGGATAGATGTCGGGATGAGAGTCCTTGATTGTAAAAAGGCTAATAGATGTTAAGTTTTAAGTTGGCTTTAGTAGCCTAGTATATTCAAACGATCTCTCTTTCCTTTTATCAACATATTTTTGAATGGAACAATAAGGAACGAAGAACTACTCATGGAAACAATGAAAAACTAGAAGCAAAGTGTTATAATGAGCATATGTATCTTGCTGAGCACTATTGTTTGTATGGCATTGTTGTCAAGTGCTTTACATATATGAGTAAGAGAACAATAGAAAAGCAATTTTATTATAATAATCCACTGTCCGTTCTCTTCAAATATATACACGTAAGTTTCCAATGCATGAGCAAACTCTTTGTTAGAAAAACAACTGCGTAGAGCTTTATATCAAAACAATTACGTTTAATGTTAATAAAATAAACATCTATTTATGGCTTACTCAAATTTGATTAGCAAGCGTTATTATTTGATGCTAAATTAATCATGTGTTTATTTAAATAATACATATAAATAACATAGACATTTTGTATTTAAGGTAATTGGATTATTTGCAAATTATTAATTTCAAAACGAACAAAACTAGTGGTACATTTATTTCAGCATTTTCATATAAAACATTAGCATATTTATTTTTCATGTAGATTTAGGAGGCCCATTGTTGGCTTGAATTGTGAATTGCGACCCCTAATTTTATTATAAGATCTTTTTTTTCTAGTGACTTAATATTTCAATACTTTGATTCAGAATGAATTACGTATTAAATCATAATTTTTACTAATGAAACATTTTAAAAACAATTTTATTTCTTATATAACACAAAATGATCAACTAATTTCAGGTTATGTCTGTACCCCAATAACCTATATTTTTTTTTGTCCGGTCTCAATTTTACTTCTCGACGTCATTTAAATTTTAAATATTTAAAATTATCAACAACATACAA